CTTAATGAGCTAGAAAATAGAGAGGGGGGTCAAGTATTATTGGATTCAATGGGATCGTTTGTGAAATATTTCCCATTGGTAAAGTATGTGAAGAGACTAACATAGACAGCTATCTATTTATTTGAATGGGTCCAGTGCAATAGACTGTAAAAGCTAATGAGGTCGAGGATATCGAAAAAAGTTATTTCTCTTATTGAGCGCAGCATGTATGCAAAGTGTTCATTTTCAAGTTAAATTTTAAATAGCATTTCATAAAAGTTTGATAGCGATTCAAATGTTGCAGTTGTAGTGTTCAGATTGATCTTGCCAGTGATGCTAGTTCCTACATATTATAGAGACTGTCGAGATCTAAGGTTTATTTCTAGATTTGCTCAAATTGCGATAAGATATTTCTTGAATTAAACCCTGTACGTGCATAATCTTAAATATACTAAATATGCAAAAATGTAGAAACAGAATCATGTCATTTCTTTTGCAGTTAATGCAGATAATATAACATTATTTTATAATCTGATCACATCGTGTAGGGGCAAGGACTATTTTTTTATTAGTTGTGTTTAATAAAAATAAAATAGATATTTTCTGGTTGTATACTATTTTCAGACTTTTCTGTGAACATATCATAATGCCTGTTTCAACAGACTCAATAAAGTTGTATTCAGTGGTCCAATTCTATAACTTTGCATATATTCCATTCTATGAAAGTAATTTAGCATCTGATTTCCTGGTTATTGATCTAGAAATCCCAGGTTCATTATCTACCAGATAGGATAATTATAGTTCCATAGTGGGAGACCATAAATGTGGCCAATTATTAAAATTATTGTATTGAATTCCAGACATGTTGGACTGGAAATAAATAACAGGCATTTCATCCTCATAAATAGCCATTTATAAGATTCCTTGCAGTCTGGTAGCAATGATTTCAATGAGTTTTTCAAAACTGCAATTTTTGAAATTCTATACAGTGATTTGATATGTTAGTTATCATGTGAATCTAATATCTAAGGGAGTGTTTTGAGATTTATGGGATTTTAGGACCAAGTTGAATTTGTCAAATCATTCAAATTATTTGTTACAATAACCAATGCTTTTAAAGTAGGCCTTTAAATGAACTCATTTCAGTCAATGACCATTCATTCATGACTTGTGAAAAGAAGCTGTTTAGACTGTCCTTGTGAACTTCCATGAAAAAGTCCAAGGCTGGCTCGTAAGGGCTTATCAGCAGTTTTTCTCACCAAAGGGTCAATAACCTTAAAAGTGAAAATTTGATGTCTGCACAGAATTTTTAGCAATTTTCTTTGCTTGGGTGGACTGGGCAACAATGTACCGGTAGCACATTTTCCAAAGGAATAGAATGCCACATATGCCCACTCATTTTGAAAGTAAAAAAATCAGGTCTGTAAGATAATGATTGATGATACAAGGTAACACTGCTATTTATGATAGGTGATAATTGTATTGATGAAATCAGCTTATAAATGGATGTTTTCATTTCATAAATCATACAGGACTGTTTTTGTAACTGTCTATGACCAGTTGTTTTGTGGTTTTTATGATTTTAATATATGACATATATGTGGTTGAACCACAATCATTTTGACATTATATAATTTTGATTAATGATATTATGGTTCACCTCATTCAATGTTTGTTTAATTATCCTTCCAACATATTCACTCACATATTTTTACAATGCATCATCATAAGCTTGCAAGATGCAAATTGTCAATGACTTAGTAAAAGATCACCTTGAAACCATGTAATAGACATTGTTTACTAAGTCTAAGACATTCACATTTAAAAGTGCTATACATGTATAAGCTTATTATAATTGAATTACAGAACAATACCCATCAGCCATTGTCTAGTTATTATCAAACATAAAATAATGAATTTTCAGATATTTTTATACGCCCACACATTCATGTGGGCGTATATAGCTGTCGCACCTGTCTGTCTGTCTGTCCGTCTGTCTGTCCACAATGTCACGACACGAGCTGGTTTCTTCATGGATTTTGACGAAACTTGGTGTGAGTGTTTGTAATCACCCAAGGATGAACCCTATTGAAAATCAGACGAATCGAAAAATATTTACTATGAGTTATTGCCCTTGTTCATGAATTGTTTGTTGACAGCTGGTTTCTTGATGGATTTTGACAAAACTTGATGTGAGTGTTTGTAATCACCCAAGGATGAACCCTTTTGAAAATCAGACGAATCGAAAAATATTTACTATGAGTTATTGCCCTTGTTCTTGAATTGCTTGTGGACACGATAGAGAGCTGGTTTCTTGATGGACTTTGATGAAACTTGGTGTGAGTGTTTGTAATCACCCAAGGATAAACTCTATATAGCCGTCGCCTGTCTGTCTGTCTGTCTGTCTGTCCGTCTGTCCGTAAATATATAACTGTCTTAACACAAAGATTTGCCACTTGCTGCCACTTAAAAGATTCAATTCTATATGGATTAAATGAAACTTGACATGTTCAATTAATCCCATTTGAATAAAAAAGCTGTAAACAAAACCCATGAAATATGAAAATTTCACTCTCAGAAACATTAATTTATTGATAACTCTTGTCAACCTCCCGAACAAATTAGCTGCCATTACAAATGTGGGCCTATTACGATGGCATTGCTATTTTTATATGTATACTACAAGCATTAACTCCCCTTTTGTTCATATTAATTAGTTAATTATATATGCTAATTTCATTTTGTGAAAATCAGAATTCTACAGCACATCATGTGCACAGATCTCTATTCTATAGTCCCTGTAACTCAAAGAATAATTTTGTGCACTCAAAATTTCCAAACCATACTTATCAAACAGTGGTCTTGGGTTCTTTTTTTTCCACTCAATGATGCCGGTTTGAAGGAATGAATTGGTGGGTCAACAAGCTAAGAACCATTGATCTTTGCAAATTTCTCATTTTTGCACACTGCATGGCATTGCCTTTCTTATGACAACTTAACTTGAATAGATTAACCTGTGAGCTTTAAAGTATAAAGTATGATATAAGAAATGTAAAGGTTGTGAGACTGAGACAGATGACATTATCATGGATGTATGGCTGGGTCACAATGCTCTAACCAAGACATAGGGACCCTGGAAAATATTTATAGTATGCTTACAAATTATATCATTGTAAATAGAAAATCTTGTATTAAATACTGAGTAAGACATGAAAATGGAAGTATTATGTTAGAATGTTAATATTGACAGAACAATTTCTATATTATAAACTATATTTACCAGCTTCTACTGAATGATTGTTACTTTTGAAAAAAAAAGGAAATTGTCGAGTAGTATTTACTTGATATTGTTATGTAGGTGTTGACTGTTTTCTTTGATGACACAATCATCATTATTCATGGATTATTTGAACAAGAATACCTGCATGACAAGTTATAATTTATCTTTTATCATTTCTTATAACACCACCTGTAATGCTATAATCCCTGAGCAACCAGTCCACAATTTGATGTTTATAGCTGATATGTCTGGACCAGTTATACATCACATCTAGAAATGTCATAATCACAATCTAGAAATGTCATAATCACATCTAGAAATGTCATAATCACATCTAGAAGAAGAATTATCCTCAGTTAAAAAAAAAAACATAAGAATTACAATATGATTTATGACCACCTGTAAGATAATGTACATTTAAGTTACTAAGTTTTTCAAAAAGTTCATTTGAGTCCCGTCTGGTATAATGTCTGAAAAACTATTCTCCCACAAAAGATATCAGAAAAAATGGTTTGCTGGCACACCTGCTAAGAAACATTTTGTTGAAAGCCAACAATAAAGGCATCCAAAAGGTTGACTTTGACATCCAGCAAAAGAAATTGTTGGAGCAAATCATAAATCTATTTATTGGTTTTTGAAAAAGAAATGGATTGCTGTCTTGTTTGTCTCCATGTATTTTGATTTATATCATACTTTTACAGATTTATATGTTGCATACTTTTTATGATCTAAAAGGTTTTAGTTTGACTTGTAAAGTATGACACTTATCATGTCAAAGCTTTGTAGTCATATAACCTCTTCTATGCAAGTCATATAACAACATTTTTATATAACTAAATCTACACCAGTCAGAATAGCAACTAGACTGATCATAAAACCTAGATCTAGAATGGTCATAAAACCACATCTACACACTAGTCTTTAACACAAGTAGACTAGAACAGGCATATTATCACAACTAGACCAGTTGTATTACCACACCTAGACCAGTCATATTACTACAACTAGACAAGACCAGTCAGGTAAACATAACAAAACCAGTCATTTTACCACTAGACTAGACCAGTCAGATAACCATAAAAATTTCAGAAAAGTAGGATGTAAAACTCCATTCATTTCATAACCATAATAAAAACAGTCTTATAACCACAAGAAGGCCTGTTGTTAACCACAACTCAGCCAGAAATATTACCACAACATTTTGAAATAACTAGGTAAAATATATGATTTTAGCCTTGACCACTTATCACAACTAGCTAGAGAATCAGTTTACCACAAGTAGCTAGAGAATCAGATTACCACAACTAGACTAGTCAATTAACCATGACTTTCCTGGCCAGTTTACCACAACTAGAACAGTTAACTATAATTAAACGTGTCAGTTTACCACAAATAGACAAGTCATAAGCTTATAACCACTAGACCAAAGCTTAACACATCTATGTCAGCCAGTTTACCACAAAAAAGACAAATCACTTGACTGCAACTGGATCAATGATATTAATATAACTTAACTGGCCATATTACCTCAACTAGACCGGTCATATTAGCACCACAACTAGCCCTGTCATATTACCACAACTTGATCTTAACCAGTCAAACAATTAGACAATTAATATTTCCACAACAAGACCAGTTATTTATTGCCACTAGATCAGTAATATTACCACTACTAGCAAGTAGCTAATGCAGCAAGTGCTAGCCCAATAACCACAACCATTGATCAGTGACAACAATTATTCTAGTTAATATTAACAACTACCATCAATTCATTAATAAGAACAACTACCATCAATTCATTGATATTAACAACTACCATCCAGTCATTAACATTTACAACTACCATCAATTCATAAATAAGAACAACTATCATTAATTCATTGATATTAATAACTACCATCCATTCATTAATATTAACAACTACCATCAATTCATTAATATTGACAACTACCATCAATTCATTGATATTAACAACTACCATCCATTCATTAATATTAACAACTACCATCCATTCATTAATAAGAACAACTACCATCAATTCATTGATATTAACAACTACCATCAATTCATTAATACGAACAACTACTATCAATTCATTAATATTGACAACTACCATCAATTCATTAACATTAATAACTACCATCAATTCATTAATATTAACAAGTACCATCCATTCATAATTAAGAACAACTACCATCAATTCATTGATATTAACAACTACCATCCAGTCATTAATATTAACAACTACCATCAATTCATTGATATTAGCAACTACCATCCATTCATTAATATTAACAACTACCATCAATTCATTAATATTGACAACTGCCATCAATTCATTGATATTAACAACTACCATCAATTCATTAATATTAACAACTACCATCAATTCATTAATATTGACAACTGCCATCAATTCATTGATATTAACAACTACCATCAATTCATTGATATTAACAACTACCATCAATCCATTAATATTAACAACTACCATACATTCATTAATATTAAAAACGACCATCAATTCATTAATATTAACAACTAACATCCATTCATTTATATTAACAACTACCATCCATTCATTAATATTAACAACTACGATCCATTCATTAATATTAACAACTACCATCCATTCATTAATATTAACAACTAACATCCATTCATTAATATAAACAACTACCATCCATTCATTAATATTAACAACTACCATCAATTCATTAATATTAACTACTACCTGTACCATCAATCCATTGCTGTGACATTCTATCTTTTAATGCGTTTTATCTCTACCTATTTCAAAAAGATAATATCTACACATTGTACTTTTGACTCTTGAAGTTTTTAAATCTTTTAAATAATCTTGACAAAAAATGATGCTGGATAATTACTGTCTTGAAATGACATAAAGTGACAAACATTGTCATTTTACTTTATATCACTAGTTAATAGAAATATCAGAACAGCACCTTGTCTCCAGTTTCTTGTGATTTTTTCTCTTAGTTTTATTGTAAATGTCAGTCATCTGTTAACTGTATCTAATGTCTGACAGCCCTGATTTGCACCTCATGTTTTGACAGATATCAACTTATGTTGTAGGAGGAGTTTTCATTATAAATTCCATTGGAGAACAAAGCTGAGGTTAAACTACTACCTACTCACCTACCATTCCTAGACATCAGATGTTGCCATGTTTGTCATCATAATTTTCAGCATTTTGGCAGACAAATCTCTATGGTTGACTTCCCATTTGATTACTCATTTTATTTTACAAAAAAATCGGTTATTAGACAATATGTCTTGCTTTCTAGGTAAAGCCGATGAATTTAGCTTGTGTGCGAATATTGATTTCAATAAATTATGATAGAATACTGTACCCAATGGCACCAATCTAATTACTCTTTGGCCAATCTAGTATTCAATATTTCATTAGAAGGTTTCCCTACTTTACGATCACTCTTGCCACAAACTAAATTCTATAATAAAATCGACATGTAGCAGAATTAATTATATTTATTTACCTCTTTGATCTTTTAGACTTGATTATCTAGTTAGTTACCGTATTTGAATTAGCTGTTTAATATCTGTCTTGATGAAAGAGACTTTGCATCTAGGTATAGCAATGGTTAACAGAGCAATAAAAATATTACTTCTGCTGTTTCAAAACTGTTTGCTACAAATTCCATGACAAATTCATTGCCAACATGAACATATGATAATATAAGATTTGACAAAATTGATGTTCATCACAAATTCACTGTTGTTTGTTAAGCCTTTATGCAAGGTCCACAGTATTAATTTAAGTGGTGGATTACTGATTTTCATAGATATCAGATTCAGATTCTTTTAATGCATAGAATTATGTGAAATTGTTATGTAAAGATGATGTCATAGGTCAATTTTATGTAAAATGTTCTTTTTACATACCCTAATCAACCACCATATATCCAATATATAAGGCAAGTACCTTCCAATTGGTACTTATTTACATGAGAATTTGAATAGATAATCAGAACTTTTAACACAGAGGATTCCAAGGAATTTGTTCAGATATTTTAATCCATTTTGGATAACCATCTATAACTTTGATGAGAAAGATGCCAATGTTAAAGTGACATTACTTCTTAGAATGAACATAAAATTTAAGAATTTTAAACTTGGCCAATATATTCATCAGTAGATATACCTAGTGTCATAAATAACATAACAGGATCCTTATATACTCCGATAAATCCAAAAAACATAGTAATTATCCATAAATATGCAATTATCTATTGAAAAACGCTTAATATCAAGATATTTTCAAACACTTGATATGTATATGATAATGGAAAAAAACGAATTGAATTTAGACTATTTTTGCAACTTTTTCATATTTTCTTGTAGTTTTGAATTTGTTGAAATAAGATAATGCATGAGAATCCTGCATGAGGACACATGCAATGGTAGAAATGAGAGACAATATTGCCACATTTTGTTACAATTCAATTCATTAGGAACATAGTTATGATTTGATTTCCCACATCATGTCAAACTTTTTTTTATTTATTTATTGTTTGCCATTTTTGCCAAAATTTTTTTTGTAAAAAATGTAACTTTCTTTTTCACAATTTTTATGACAAATAAACAATATAATTTGCAATGAGTGTGATGGGAGGAAATTGTGGTTTTATATAAAATGATTTTTTTTCTAATTTCAGCTGATTGTAGTTTTACATTTTCTGATTCAAGTGGTGAAATCAAAGCTTTTTCTATTGACTTGGAGAATAAAGGTCATTCAAGTTGTTGTTATCATATTCAAGCTCCGAAACAATACAACATACAGTTAAACTTTACACAATTATTTGGTTTTATATTGCCATCTAATAATCATACGACAACGTACAATTCGTGTTTACCGGAAATTATTATAAAGGATATGATGAACGGTGAAGAAGTTCGTACAGAGACAGTATGTTGGCAGAAAAATAATTCACAAGCCCCACAAGTCTTTCTTTCCCATTCTAATAGTTTAAAATTGATATTTACTTGGAGGATTGGTCATCGGAGTGGTTTTCACATATTTTACCATACTTTTCATAAAAAAGGTCAGTATTGAATTAATTTTCATTTGTAGAAACATGATTTTTAAACATTTAAAGCATATTTTGATAAACTATGCTCACAGTGGACACTTGACAATTAGTGTGTGTGTGTATTACTATCACTACTATTGCCTAGTGTGGTTTCTTAACTCCATTATACTTGAGCAATGATATTTGTGCTCCTCATGGGTCTGATTCAAAATATAAAACACCAGCATTCCGCTTTATCTTAATTTTGACTAGGTAAGAAAATATATACAGATTAAACTTACTTTGTATATATTGCTATTTATATAAGAGCCCTGATTTAGATCTTTTACTTTATGTACTACTATAATCACTTACAAGTGATTGATATGTACTGGGTGCCTATATATGTTATGCTGATAAAGATACAGAAAAATATACATTGGCACTAGATGTACCCTTTACTCCACATTCCTTTAGCAATGGTATTCAATGTTCATGACATCTAACTGTTGCTTTCACAATGCCATACTTGTGTCATGGCAGACCATGTGTCACCATTCAATTTATCCAATCAGCAATATTCTAACACTTAGGGTGAAGAAAAGTTCTTTAAAAATTGCAGCCTCCATCGAATCATTGGGAACTGTTTGACTTGCGCACAAAACCCTTTTCCCAAAACCATCAATGTAAAACTTGATAAAAAGGTGTGTCCTTCATATTAACAAAAAAATTCAGAGAATTCGTGTACTCTCGATTGTTCATTTTAACATTACCCCAACCTCAACCTTACACTTTGAGACTCAATTATCAGCAGTTAGATGTGATAAGTATGGTACACCATTACATAAGGAAAATGCCTTTAGGTGTTAGATTTGTGACCACCACTTACTCTGAACACTCTGTGCATTTTATACAATTCAAATGAGGGGCGTATATTGGCATCACCCATGTCCTTCTGTCCACAATAATTGAGCATATTCACTCAAGAAGGCACAATTCTTGATAGATTCTAATGAAACTTGGTGAAATTGTTTATTATCTTCAAAGGATGAACCCTGTTGAAATTCAAAAACTATTTAAGTAATTGTCTATGTTCTTGAAAAACTTTTGAATCTTGGTATTATTGTTTATTATCACCCAAAAAAGGTTTGCAAGATGTGTATAATTATAGGTTGAATATTTCATACTGGTAACTGTATTGCCAAATATTCTTATTTAAAATCAAGGCTGGGCTTGTATTATGTTGCCTGGCAAGCTTTCTTATACCCATGAATTATTTCTTTGATATCATGTATTTTACCTTTTAGTGCCTGGAAATTTTTGTTCATATCTTAAACACTTTGTGTTGACTAGAAATTCTGTGGGCTCTGACATTCATCATGATGTTATTTTATATACAAAGTTGTTCTATTTTGTAATTTTATTTGTAGATTGTGAGTCTGGTTCGAAAATAAATTGTCCACTCCCAGCATCTTCTTCCCCAACAGGTAAATTCTCTTTTAATATAGACAATCAGATTATAGATATTTTTAGACAACCTAATGATGATCATGGACAAGTAATAGGTAAACTGCAGCCACTGATATGAGATATGCTTTCTCAGTAGCAAAGGTCTTGTGGTCAAGTAAACAAATTGTTACAGAAGTGTAGCTGTATGTTAGATGGCCTACACCCAGAAATATAGTTATATTTGGCAATATTGTACCAACTTTCAAAATCTTATTGTCTTGTGAATGAATGATATCTTTCCAGATTTCTATTATGTATACCAAATCAATGACAATGATTTCCTTCAACTTTCAATATTATTTGATACTCTTCGGACATATTTTTACAAATGCTATTAATTTTTTTATTTGGTGAGAACTAAAAATCTGAAATTTGGCACCATTGTCATTGTTGTTGACAGTGCAGTTAAACAACTATCACTATCTTAGACTAATTTACTAAAGAGAACAATATCTCCAAAAAAATTAGATCAATGTATAACTGAATATAAGTTGGTGGGGGTGTTGAAGTGTGTTTATAAACACTTCATTAACACAAGTCATATTTCCTCAAGTTGTGATTTTTACTTGACATAATACTTCATTTATTTTTCAACCAAATTTTTATTAGAGCTAAGAAGAAAATTAGTTATCTGAAATTTAATGTGAAAACTTCAGTGTCAGGAATGTTTGCTTCTGTTGTTCAACAAATCTAAAACAAAGATGATATTCAGTTTTGAAAAACACAGATTGACACATGGATACAGTTTGATCAATAATGGTTTTTCTTTTATTAATTAAAGGTAGCCAAAATTGTGTGACAGTAAAACATCATGAAATATTTCAATAAAAGCAATTTACGAACACTAAAATTGTCTCCAAATTTTTACTTTGAAGTTAGTTACTTTACCAGAGCTGCTACAACATTTTATTTATATAGAGAGATTGAACCAGAAGTCTTCTGACCAATTAAAAAAAACTTTAACCAAAAAAAAAAAATGTAACTGTAATGTACAAGTTATTAGATGAAAAGTTAACAGCCATGTGTGGGGAATGAATCCTGTTTCATTTATATACTGTGGTATTAAATCTAATCAATTTGATGCATTTACATAGAATATTTGAAAACAAGATATTTTACTGAAATTTTGTGTAAAATTGATCAAGTATATGTATATTAAAATTTTGTAAGTACATGGTTATATAGGAATAAATCAGAACAATATGAAGAGTAAGTTGGAATTCTGATTTGAACTATAGCTATGAAAGATGACTATGAATCAATTTACTTTATTTCCCACTGGTAGATATATTACAGACAGACAGTCCAAATTTCAAACTCGATCTCATTTATTTTGTGTATGTTTTATTTGTCTAGACATTACATCTAGGTTTCTTCTTTATCTTATCTCTCTACTCTTATCTCTGATTACTATTTCTTGAATACATTGTCATGTATAGAAGTTGATGACTGCATGGTGTCCATATTCCACAGAATATATATAATACAGATTACTGTTTTCAAATATCTGTAGGAAAGGTTGCATAATATAATATAAATATGTCTATGCCCACCTCTACAATTATTGGTGTAAGGAGATTGTTTCTAATATACTTTTTGTAACAGACAGAGAATGTGTCTAGCTGTAACTGGATTCATCTAGATACAACTGAGGATGTGTCTAGCTGTAACTGGATTCATCTAGATACAACTGAGAATGTGTCTAGCTGTAACTGGATTCATCTAGATACAACTGAGGATGTGTCTAGCTGTAACTGGATACATCTAGATACAACTGAGGATGTGTCTAGCTGCAACTGGAGATACATCTAGATACAACTGAGGATGTTACTGACAATATTGAATTGGTATATTCAACAATATTGGACAATTTTTCTTCTACCAAATTGCAGTGTGTTTATCTCTTGTGTCTTATTTGACAAAAATTGCAGTCTGCTGTTTTAATTGGAATGATATGGAGATTTGTGTCCTGCTTTCATGCAACTGATTCCATTAATGAAGAAGGCCTTCGTCATAAAGTATGTTAGGACAGTGGCATAAGTCTACTCTTCAAAGAATATTTATTTAAAATGCAAAGAGTGTAAACATGGTTTATTGTCTGATTATCTAGAGGCCCTGCAACTTGCAATGATAAAGGGAAACTGGGATGAAAACTATGCAGGTATTACCTTGAACTATGCCAGAATTGAACTCTGGGAATCCTTCAGGAAAGCAATTAAGCGTCTCATTAACTGAGCGGGTGTAGTTTTAAGGATCTAGTGGTTTTGACCATGTTATCTTTTTACCGTGATCTGTTGAATATTAGAGAAATTGAGTTTTTATATAAACATATGAAATCAATCTACCACATGAATATTTGTTTACAATGGTATTAATATTTGATTGTCATTTTCACATTGTAGTCAGTGCTTTTATACTTTTGGGGTATTTGAGAGTAAGCTTTCTATGGTGTATTTTTGGAAGTTGGATCAATAGCTCTAAGTTAATGACACACATATTATAACATGCAGTATGTGACATTCAGAATAGTCTGGTGCATTCATTGTTGAATACATACCAATACAAACTATTCTAGTTAGTTGTTTTAACCTATAGTATAGTCTGACTTGTACTGATGTCTATTCTTACCACCCACTCTATTTCAATCTTTCCTTGTTAAAAATTAATCCCTTTATTTTGAATGACTACTCATTTCCAGCATAGCTGTCTGCTACCTTCACCTGTTTAATACTAGCCTAATGTCAACATGAACTTGGCTTCAAGCCAAAATCTTAAATAAATGGCTGACACTCGTCTGCTTTGGCACATGTTGTAGGGAGGTTCTGATAAGGAGAAGGCAAATCAAGGTTAAATTGTTACAATTTTAGGATGAGGGAAAGCAAGTAAGAATTATGTGTGTATTTGTATAGATTGATGATTGTAGGCCACTAAATTGTAATTAATATGGCTGTTTTACATCACATTAGTCTGGTAGTGGTAAATATTTATAGGTTTAATATTGAACATAGAATTTCTGGCAAGCTGGCTATAAATTATGTACATTGAGAGGTTGGGGAGCTGTCAAGGCAATATATGTATTATATATATATATATATATATATATATATATATATATATATGAGTAGCAGATATAACAAAATGAACCTTTTTGAAGTGAAGTGATATAAAATAGCTTCATGTCTATATTGAAATTTATTAAGTCTGTTAACCTGTAAGATAATAATTGATTACATCATACATCCAGCAACAATCTTGATGAATATAGAATTTGGTAGAGTGTCTCCAGAAGACAATATGAGGGGAAAGAGGAAAAACATTTGTACAACTGTGAACATGATATCTTTTAGTTTCAGATATCTCTAGAGGATTTCTACATTGTAATGTCTAGTAGGTACTATGTTATCAGAATCAGTTATTAGTAAATAAGTCTAGTAGTCTGGATAAGTTGTAGCTTATTCAGAAGTGTAATGGAGAATTTGACCTCAGAATGAGTTTGTACAATTGAGTACAAGGTTGTCATAAATTATCTATAGCAATTTGTCTAGTCATATTAATAAATAATACATTGAAAACTTATCTCCATTTTTAACTTGTACCTGGGGAATGTACAAAATGTTTTAGTCAGGTTTTCTGACCTACTATTTTAAAAGTTCTCAGAGAGCACAAGTAACATGTCTGAAAGGAGAGCAAAGACTAATTTGAAAATTAGATCTCTTATTTTGAGTTGGATCCACCAGTGGAGAATTTTCCTTCTTTCTTAGTACAGTGTAAGTTTGTTAGCACATTGGGTTGATAAGGCTGACTTTAAAAGTGTTTTAATGTTTGGATAAGAACCCAAGCTCAGTGTCCTGCAGGCTTTGGAAAATCAGAAAATACAGTCCGTTAATTTAAAATGACTTTCATTGAATTTTTCTTAGTGTTGTGTATTACTGGTCAAAATCTTCCAGACACAAAGAATTTGATGTTTTTGTGACTTTTCATCTTTTTAAAGACTATGCATGAAAATAAAAATGTTATTAATCTAACCACATATTTATAAATAAATATTGTCACACAATGATATTGATTAGTGTATTGTTTTATAATAATGAAGTATAGAATGCCAGACAAGCTTGAATCATATTACAATGTCACATTATGTCAAATGTTTTAACTAAATTTAAATTGATTTTGTGTTTGAATTTGAAATATGAAAATGTTGAATATGAATATGTCTATCTTATCATGTGACCATTTTAAAGACTGATAAAATTAAGTTGATAATGGTAAATGATGTAAGCCATGCTGTATTATCTTTATATTTATCAAGACATGTTTTATCATTTCAGCATCATTGGATTCTGTAAAAATTATTGTTGTGATAGTGGTTTGTGCCGCAATATTTATTACGTTAGGTGTTACAATTTGCCTAGTTATGAGAACACAGTGTCAGTTAGTCTCTAGAGCTTGGCATCGTCACAGTTCACGAGAGGCTCAACTTCGCCCACAATCTCAGAGCTCAGAGGTAGGTTAATATTTTCTTTACATGTATACGTTTGTTGTAGTTAATGTAGCAAGGTACAGATGAATTTAGATAGCTTAAGAGAATCTAAATGAGAAACTTCAAATGTATGTAGAATATCATATAAGTTATTAAATTGGTTGTGGGTATTTACCTCTTGTGAAGTATATCTGCCCTCTAGTTGTAGATTCAACAATATCCACAATTATGTATATTATCTACAATATAACTTGCCAAGTTTATATCACATGATATCAAGTGATATTTGCAGTTTGACCTAGCTACAACAGTGCCATAATTTTGACTGTTGATGATGTAGTGTCTATTCGAGCATTGTCTATTGTCACCAACATTTCAAAATGTTTCAAATTAGATCATAACATACAAAGTAAATTATTTTATTTTTTTTTGCTGCAAAGCATAATTTATAGAGAAATATTAAATACAGTATTAATCATTTTATATTTTATATTTTTTCAGGTTTTTGTTTCAACACCATCGTCTCGTGAACAGATGGAGCAACAGGAGGCTTTACTTCGTGATCGTTTAATCCAGACATTATCGACAAATCGTGATGGACGAATAGGATGCCCCCCACAAATACCCATATCTCGCGATGGTGAGGAAGGGTATGCGGAGAGTCAAAAACAGTTGGCAAATCAACGTAATTTAGATAATACAGACTCACAGCAATATTTCCGACCCCCGCCTAATCGAACTATATATGATCGTAAACAGAGCCCTCCCCCTTATCCGTACACCTCTGCTTCATCTTTGGACACCTCGTGTGGAAAGCCATCAAATGGTTATTCGTCAGTAATACGATGTCATAGTGTTTCTCTTAATAGTGCTAAATCGGACTCGTTACACCAATCTAGTTCACATTCTCGGACTTCGTCTATCTCAACTACAATGTCGTCTCCTGCTAGATATTCTCAACTTCATTCAAATAGTTCTTTGAGAAATTATACAGGGACAGGGGCATCTTCTAGTCCCCCAGATGTTGTAGCCAGTCATGAGAGTGTTTATAATAATAATAATAAACAGTTTAATGTATGATGGAAAGTGATGGCTTTATTAATGTGTTCTAGTGATAAATACCAAACTGTGGCTCAGATAAAATATATAGCTGAGTATAATATAACTGTGACTGTAAGTATATTGGTGTGTGTCTAAGGAAATGAAAGATTAAATTAACTGATTATATTGTGATGATGATGTGAAATGAAGTTTGAATGTATAAATGTGTTATAGATTGTGATATATATAAGTGTTCTTTACATGAAAACTTTTTACAAACATAGAGAAACAGTGAATTTTTTTATGCTTCAAAGTTTCATTGTGAAAAGAGTTACATAATTTTAATAATATCAATCTGCTCAGCTTAGCTTGATTTTCATCAAAGAAACTCTTTCTGAACATGTTTTTTTTTTTTTAGTTTGGGCAGTTTTGCGATCATCTACTCATTTTATTTTCATTGTTGAAAAAAGTTTTCAGTATGAAACATACTTATTCACAAAATTGTTATGCTTTGAAGTCTGATATTTGTCAATTAAAGAGCGATATTTACAAACGCTATAGGGCATTGAATATAAATATACTTCCACTGCACTAGATTTTGATTCAAATAGATTTGCACTGAGGTATAGAAATATCTTTTGACATTTTAGTCTTCACTATCATGTCACTTTTCCAATTTTATAAACTAAAAAAAGAATTATTTTGATTTGATGTAGAAGATATTTTCATGTTAGAATAATTTGATTCAGAGTGAAAACAGGAGTTAAATATGAACTGTAACTTCTATCTCTAATATTTAGAGAATTTTATTACAGTCTAATGTAAGGGAAGTAATTCTAGTACAAATTTTCTCTCATAATGCATATTATCTACCAAACTATCAATATACTTTGTGAAATAGCAGGAAAACTACTAGGATGTTGGTGAGGAAACAAAAATTAATTCTCACTGTTGTTAGAAATATTGACCTGTTTATGTGACAGTTTTAAAGAATACATTTTTATATACCGGTACAAGCTTAATAGTTATAAATTTGTTGATTTATTGATTGTAGCATTAAATAATATAAAATCAAATCATTTTAGCATTCCTCTATATCTGAAATGACTTGTTTCCAGTTAGCCCAGACATTCAATATATTGTGTCATTAGAAAGGATACTTTGCCTTTACACCAAGTTGACTCTAATTTAAAGTATATTGTAAATGAGAGACAATTATGGTTACAAACTTGAATAAATATAGGATATAATAACTTGACAACATAATGATATTGACTGTTTGAGTTTAATAATAAAATTTCTAGAATTAAGTTACACTTCTACATCAAAAATATTCATTTATGTTTTGGTTGTATTTATTTCTTCTCTTAGATCACATTTATTTGATTCAAATGAACTTGAATTTGAATAAAATATACCAAAATTGTACCATTTAATGAAGTAGGGCCTAGCCCTTTAGAGAAACATCAAGCAATTGAAATGCACTTTTTGTTTTATATTTGTGTTTTATTATTAATATTATAATGTTTACCATATAATGGTTAAGATTGTGTGAGTTGAAGAATGTTTATTTCTATATTGTGATTTTGTTATGTAATGTATAAATGTATCTTGTTATAAACAAAGTCATTTCAAAATAGTTATATTTAAATAAGGCTTGAAACATGAAGCCATACATTTCAATATTGATTGAAAGGGACAGGTTTCCTTTCTTATATTGTGCTTTGAATATCATACATGTATCATTTTGATGCCACTTCAATGCAAGACTTTTGCCTCCAGAGAATGATGTTTATTCCATTAAGTAGGGATGGGATCTGGCTATTTCTGAAGACATTAAATTTTATGACTTAACCTGTCTGTACATGGCATAATATCTGTACGCACAAAACAAGCACTATCTTTGCTTGTCTGAGACTAATCAAAATATGAAAATTGGAAACTGACTGCTCTTTCAGAAGAACTTCTGAATACTTTTCAAGAAATTAAAAATATCCAATGTGTGATTATTCAGAAGCTGCTGCATTAGCATGTCGGATGTTTTGAAAATATTCCTATATTTCTACATGAATCAAGACATCTTCTTTTAATAAATAATGCTCTTTTATAGTATTTTATTATATTGGTTGTTAAAATTCTACATATTGGTCATTCCTTTAGGTATTAAGATTCAACATGTTAACTGACATAATTTAACCCAATTCAAATGCAGATCTAGTTACTTCATTTCGTATTTTTCACATGCCAAGAAACATCAAGATCTGCATTGCAACCAAATAAGTATCCTGAACAATATCCATTCAAACAATAATAATTTTTTAGGAACAATTTTTTCTGAACATATAGAGGTGATTTTAAATCTAGATATGTTTTAAATCAAGGAAGCTTTGCCAAGCAAATTTTACATCAGTACATAAATATCATGTTCAATAGACATGAAAATGGTTAAGCCCACATTGTGTTGAATTTGCATTTGTGCAATTTAAATCCAAAAAATTAGGAAATGATGCCAGACGTGTGAAAAAATTTATAAATTGATAAGAGTGTTAAATTTATGAATTTACAGTTTATTTCAAAAATAAATTCTGTTCTATATGAATATTTCTAAGGAGTATACTTATTTTGATATTTTGACATAAAGCCCTTCTGTTTTTTTTTTGTTTTTTTTTAATGTACATTAAAGAATTTGTCAAGAATATTATTTGATATAAATGTATAGTGAATGATTGAGTGCTTGGTCTCTGTATATTATTATCATTATTATTATAATTTGTGAATGGTGGAGAAAATGAAACTATTTGTGAAATGATAAAAGATATATAAATTTAAAAAATTTGAGTGAAGAGAAAAATGGAGAAGAGATAAAGATATTCTCTTTTCTATATTGTTTTTTTCTGCTCCAATATCTGTGTTGTGAGCTGTTAGATGAAATTAAACTATTTAAAATTATTTGTTATTTATTTTTCAAGATACAGAAAAAAGTACCTGAATGCCAGAAACTAGCTTAAAATCTTACCCACTTTGCCTATGAGAATAGTATGTTACACAGGCCCGACTTCCTGCACATGGTCAAGTGAGATAGAAGATATTGACCGAATCAAAGCAGTAATCCAGCTTATAATTTCGGAGTTCTATCCATACCTTGTCTGACTACATTGAGCTCCAAATCAAAGTTTTTCTCTCATTTCATTAACATTCAAAATAAAATTTTCAATTGTATTTTATATGTCTTAGAATGTCTGCAATAGAAATATAAGGTTCAGTGAGTTTACATTTAAAATGGACAGTTTCCTCCCAGAAAATTCAGGTGAAAATGACCTTTTTTTTTTGGACTGAAAATTCCCCTCTGTAATACAAATAATAATTTTTCCAGTTGTTTTCATCAACCCGAAGACAATCTAAGACTAAGACTCACTAGTATTTTGTAGTTGATATTTTAGTTCATTCGTAAATGATTGGCAAAATTCAATTCAGAAAACATTGAAGTCTTTTTTCTATTGCTGCATTTTCTACCTTGGAGTAGGGTAACTGTGGTGATATCCCAGAATATGCCTAATTATCTGTGCCAAACGTTCAAAGATAACCCGATGAGGTAAGGAGTCCTGTGCTCTATGTATAACCACCTTGTATGATGAGGTAAGAAAGAGTTCTGTGCTCCGTGTATAACCACCTTGTATGATGAGGTAAGAAGGAGTCCTGTGCTCTGTTTATAACCACCTTGTATGATGAGGTAAGAAAGAGTCCTGTGCTCTATTTATAACAACCTTGTATGATGAGGTAAGAAAGGGTCCTGTGCCCTGTTTATAACCACCTTGTATGATGAGGTAAGAAGAGTCCTGTGCTCTGTTAATAACCACCTTGTATGATGAGGTAAGGAGTCCTGTGCTCTGTTTATAACCGTCTTGTATGATTAGGTAAGCAGTCCTGTGCCATGTTTATAACCACCTTGTATGATGAGGTAAGGAGTCCTGTGCCATGTTTATAACAGCTTTGTATGATAAGGTAAGAAGGAGTCATGTGCCATGTTTATAACCATCTTGTATGATGAGGTAAGAACTAGTGATGTGCCCTGTTTATAATCACCTTGTATGATGAGGTAAGAACTAGTGATATGCCCTGTTTATAACCACCTTGTATGATGAGGTAAGAACTAGTGATGTGCCCTGTTTATAACCATCTTATTCTAAAAACTATTGAGAAGTTATATTGTGTAATGATTATAGTTATTGTCATGAAGTATAAAGACTTTGAAATCCTGAATGATCATTACAACAATCTTAAACAAGTAAACAATCGTAAACATTTGATTTAAACAAAGACACATTATTTAATAAAATTCTGACATAAACTGTCACCTCTATCGCCAACAAATTTTGATGAGTTTTTACTAAGTCATGGGCAATAACTCAAATTCTGTTGATCAAAAAATTGTCAAATTCAATCTTGACTAAGATCTCATCATTATAAATGATCATACCAAATTTCATTTAAATCGGATGAAAACTGTACTATATTGTGTTCATAAACAAATCTTGACGCGTTTTTCATAAATCAAGGGCAATAACTCAAAAACTGTTCATCGAAATATAGCCAACTTCAGACTTGACCAAGATCTCATCATTATAAATATTCACACCAAATTTCATTTAAATTAGATGAAAACTGTAGTCTCTATTGTGTTCACAGACAAAGACACGTTTTTCATAAGTCAAGGGCAATAACTCAAAAACCGTTCGTCGAAAAATCGTGAATATCAAACTTGTCCAAGATCTCATCAATATAAATGATCACACCAAATTTCATTCGAATCAGATGAAAACTGTAGTCTCTTATCGCATTCACAAGCCAATTTTGGACGGATCGACAGACATGGGTAACGACAATATATGTCCACATTATAATGTGGGCGTATAAAAACAAAATACAGAGAAGAGTTCAATTTTTATTACGTATTATGTACCAAATTTTTTCTGTTTTAATGTTGGTGGTAGACTTTTTAATATAGCTAATGGTGTTCTTTCAACAACAACAAGCCAATCATCTTCTAAACATTCAACATACATCACAAACTGAAATATATAACAATTCATTCATTTACTATGATAGCTTTATAACACGTATCTGTTGTACATTTCTAATTGATCATGTAATGGATAATTTTAGCAGTAAATCAACAATTTTTAACAATGCCTTTTAGGTTAAAGTACATAAAAAATGTCCAATATCCAAATCATTAGACCTTGAAAATACAGCTTACTCTAAGTACTGCTAGCTGCATGGCCAACCAGAGCTCAAATAGAGCAATAAAAAACACTAATTTTAAAAATGGCTTCATACTATTTTTTGAATGGAAAATACATAAATAAAAATTATTTATCAGTGGAAAATTTCTCCTTTTTAATGAAGCATAGAAATGTTTGCTGTGTCTCATTATTACTATGAAACTATAATTTAACTGATAAGAGGAAAAAAAAAGTAGCAACTTACATGATATTTTTTACATTGATAAAAAGTTCGTTCCTTTTTCATTTCTTTATTCCATTTATCAAAGATTCTCTCAGACTTGCCAGGCATTGGCTGAATCATGAAACAGATTGTTCTAGAATCAGCAATTTGTTAGACGAGATGCTGGCTTTTCAAACACTATTAAATCTTATATAAATATATGATACTTGACAGCTCTAATTTATGGTAACAAGTAACTAACACACATTAACACCTTTTTGGGGTAATTTAGGGGGTTCAAGTTTGCAGAATAACAAAGAACATAAACATTATCTAACCTGTGATTTGTCTATGATGCAAAATGACATACTGTCTTGTAAAATTATATGATTATTATTACTAGTATTAAAACTAATTCTTGATGTTTTATTCACTTTAGTTAACCATTGATCTGGTAATTTCTGACTGTTTTTACGACTCCAAGAAGTATATTCTTTCTTCTCAACATCAAATTCTATCACCTGGTAAAATATCAAATATTATATAAATAACATGTTCCTCATAAATCATACGACAAATCATAATGTAATGACCCGGGGTTAAACATACAATGATTACATGTTTATATACCTCACACATTTTATTTTCTTTAAATTTCATAAATATTTATTCGAACAAATGACTAATTGGCATATAGATGTTAAAAAAATAAATAACTATAAAATAATATCTTTTGTTTGCTTTCATCTATAATTCCCATCATTATAAATGATAACTGGTAATTAATCAGCCTTAACAATCAATCGACACATAACAACAGTATATCAATATTTCCAAACATAAACAAAAATCGTCAATTTTGTTCCCAGGCAAAACGAATAGAAAGCCACAATAACATGACATTATTGTCGCAGAACTCTTTTCACATCATATTGAATCATTTTTGGCACTAAAACGTTCCTGCTTATTTCAGCCAAAATGAATTGACGGCAACTCTATATCAAATATTAATTATTTAATAATAGTATAAAAACTTAAAATAATTTTGGTTATTGGGATATTTAAAATGCATTTGATTGATATTTCTTAGATTATTGAAAAGATTTTTTTATAAATTTCACAAGGGTGTTGAAAGGTATTTTTGAGTCATGACATCTTAGAGATTTATCATAAATCTCATTTTGCAGCTTTGACACTTTGATGTTTATCAATAAAGGGACATAACAATGTTTAAAGTATAAATTTCTTATTTCTTATATATGAATAAACAGAAAATAGTTTTATTTCAGTGTAGACTTGATGTAACTTTTTGTATTTTTATGAATCATTTTCATTATGATTATCTTCCTTCTGATAGTTATTGAGAAAGAAAGAAAAACAACTGTTTTAGTTTCCAAGTATCACATGTTCAAGATGACATACAATGTTTACCACATCTTACAGTTGCTTCTCATCATTTATCTTGGTACTACTTAATTAAAATACAAGTTTATATTATAAATGTCTCACCATGTTATTTGAATATGTTACAAGTAAGGTCTGGACAGGAGAAAATCTAAAACATCTAACAGGATAGTCATAACTTGGTAGAGTACACTCCAGCTACAATAAATATAGATTGTATCATAATATTACTAAGTGATAAAACATCTTAAAATAATTCTGAATTCATGAATGATCTAACTAACAAACATCATGTCTTCTTACTGGGTTTATCTGAGTTACTGACTATGAATTAACATCAAATTTTACAAACTTTGCTTACATGAATGCAGTTCAATATTGATCAAATCATCATTCAGTCAGTATTCTCAACCCTTGAACCCTGAGTGTAAATGAAATATAACGTCATATACCCTAAACTGTAATAAATGTAAAAGTGTATGATGGTATATGACTCCACCTAGTAACGGCCGATATACCGCCTGCTCGAGTATATATTGGGTTAGTATGTGGCCGGTAAACCGGCCGCTAGGGTGGAAAGGGTTAAGAGCATTCACAAAGTTTGTTGTACTACATTTTATTCAAGGGAATTTACAAAGACTATTTGTTAACTGTAAGAATCCATAATTACAGCACAAGAAAATAACATCAAGATGTTAATGAATAAAATCAAATTAAATATATATCTACCTGGTATGTTTTGAGATTATAGACAAATATTTTGTTTTCACCAGACGTCACTGCTACATATTCATTATCAGAGCATATAGTTAATAATCTTATACCACTTTCAATTTCTACAAGAAAAAAATCAATAATCTTATACCACTTTCTACAATATACATTTAATAATCTTATAAATATACAATTAATAATCTTATACCACTTTCGATTTCTATGAGAAAGATAGCTTGCGTTGCAAGGTAACATACGCCCACTGGCAGCTGTCAGAAATAATAAAACAGTCTTTAGTGACTAAAGTACGAATTTTCTCATATTGAAGAAATTATTTATGCTGAATAATTCCACAAAATTTTTTAAAATCAATGTCAATAACCCAAATACAACAAACAATTAAATCACACAGCTCTAATCAAGGGCAAAAAAACAACGTTTACAAAGTCAAGGGCAATAACTCAAAAAATGTTCATAAAAAATATCTCTTGTTAGAACTTGTCTGAGATCTTATCAATTCCAATGATCACACCAAGTTTCATCAGAATCGGTTGAAAACTGTAGCTTCAATCCTGTTCACAAACTATTTTTAACAAATTTCAACACGTTTTAACAAAGTCAAGGGCAATAACTCAAAAACCGTTCATCAAAAATGCGTCATGTTAGAACTTGTCCGAGATCTTATCAATTCCAATGATCACACCAAGTTTCATCAGAATTGGTTGAAAACTCTAGCTTCAATCCTGCTCACAAACTATTTTTAACAAATTTCAACACGTTTTAACAAAGTCAAGGGCAATAACTCAAAAACCGTTCATCAAAAATGCGTCAAGTTAGAACTTGTCCGAGATCTTATCAATTCCAATGATTACACCAAGTTTCATCAGAATCGGTTGAAAACTGTAGCTCCAATCCTGCTCACGAACTATTTTTAACAAACTTCAAGGCGTTCTAAGTCAAGGGCAATATCTCAAAAACCGTTCATCGAAAATATGTCAAATTCGAACTTGACCGAGATCTTATCAATCTAAAGCATCACACCAAGTTTTATCAAAATCAGATAAAAACTGTAGTCTCTATAATGCTCACAAGAAAAGTTGATGGACGGACCGACGGACAGGGGCGACAACAATATACGACCACATATTCATGTGGGCGTATAAAAATCAATAATCTTATACCACTTTCTACAATATTAAAATTATCAAGTCTATAATACACATAATAACCTTATACCACTTTCTACAATATACAATCAATAATTTTATAATACCACTTTCCATTTCTACAAGAAAGAATGAATAATCTTATACCATTTTCTATTTCTACAAAATACAGTTAATAATATTATACCACTTTCTACAATATACAATGAAAGATCGTCATATTCGAACTGGTCCAAGATCTTATTAATATAAATGATCACACCAAATTTCATATAAAAACTGTTGTCTCTGTTGTGTTCACAAGCCAATTGTGGGAGGATGGAACGACGACAATATACGACCACATTATAATGTGGGCATATAAAAAATATATTTTCTACACAATACCTTCAAAAGTATTAGAAAGTGTAGCCTGTTGATCATCTATAGAAAATACTTGAATAAAACCAGAAGATGTTGCCGTGACTACCAGTTTCCCATCTACTGTAAATTCTATATGGTGGACAGGAACCCTAATATCTTCATTATTAGTAACTATTTTATTCAAACTCACTTTTGGTGTAAACTCTTCTTCATCCTAAGTTAAAACATCATGTATAAAAAAAAATGAAAATTCAATCTTTATGAAGCATGGAATCAAATTAAAAAGAAACTTTCAACATTGTCAACTAAAATTGCAAATCAATCTACACAGATTTAAATCTAAATACAGCATGGTTGTACATCTAATTACATGACACAAAGAAATAACTAATAAAAAAAAAATTTCTGTAAACAACAGCAAGCATATATCGAATATCAACAATAAATACCACTAGACTTACCACTTGTAAATGATAAAATCGTACATGTGATTGATATGAATAAGCTAAAGTTAAACAATCGTTACTGATATTACTACAGATAATATTATCTTCACCACTTTTACATTTTAATTGTAATAATTTGATAGGATTACTTCTTAATGGTAGTATCTCACCATCATTCTCTATAAAATATAATGGTATATATATAATGCTTATTACATTATGGATCATATACATATTACATACAAAATCTGTGGAGAGATTTAGATGCCCTCACAGCCCATTGAAATAATTTATTATAAAGTTATGTATTGTAAAAAACTATAATCAAACAAAGATTTTTCATGCTATCAGAGCTGTTTATCACAACATAACTAGCAAGGAGTGGAAATCAACAAAATCTACCAAAATTACAGACTAGATTGATCACTGGCAGACTTATAGATGGACAAGTGTTGTTATAAATTAGAAACAAGCACAAGATCAATCTTATTTGTGAGACTATATCTTAGTATTGGTGATTAATTTCAAGGAACTATACCTGAAGTAAAATTTGTATGACCAAGTTTCCATACTTCTATATAGTCAGGATACTGTAGTAATATCAATTTCTTTTCTTTTGATACATGAACTAAATCCTAGAAACCAGACAAGTGATGTTTTAAATTAATCATAAATAGATACCATCATTTGTCACTATATTATTACCTTAAAGCTGTCATTATTAAACACATGATGCTGGCAAATTCCCTAGTTTTTAAATATCTTATTTTATTTTTACTTATATAACCCCCCAGACAATTTAAAGCAGATGCAACCAGTCTGATTATGTACACAAAATTAACTGTCTAGAATATTGGTCTCTAGAAATAGGCTGAAATGTGGTAACTATCCAGACAGAACCTGTTTCTACAAATATTCATAAAACAAAACACAATACCCTTGGTAAATAATGAAATCTTCTTGACTGAATTTTACCATTTTTACGATTTGTAATACACAGATTGGTAGCTATTCCTATAAGAATATGACGAAATATACATAATTAATACAGGTGTTACCTATACAGTCAAGCAACCTAATTTCGTGCTAACCTATTTTTCGTGCATCTTCGGAAATGATTAATAATTTACATGTGCGACCTCCGCATTTGATTGTTTTGATAAACATGGGTTATTTGTCAGCTAGTAGAATGAATCCAGTAGTTTCAAGCAAGGTAAAAGGTATTAATGTATACTTTGACAAATACAAAATGGCGGATTTCAGTTATTACCAAACATCACAATTTTTTTTATCGGCCGAATTTCCTTATAATCCCAAGTTGTAATCGGAATTCCAAATGTCATCTGCTAGAATGTAGTCCCATGAATGAAGTCACATGATCAACTAGCGGATTCCGTGTCAGCAGAAAAATTCTGTTATATTCTTATGTTGTTTCAATGACTTTTAGCAATAAATCACGCTACGTATCTTATTTTGTCAATGGCTATTTTTTTTCTAATCATTGTTTTTTGAAGGAATTCTCATTAGTAATAATGAATTGATATTAAAGATAAATACTTAGAGAAGTTAATTATACCACCCGGTATCCATACATGTTTTTCTCGACTTATTTATAGATCAAACATTGTACCTTGAAAATAGGTGACACATTTTGCCGCCGTTGACAAGTTGGTTACTTATGAAATATAGGTCAAAGTGAGGGATACATAAAGAAAATCAAAACAAACCAATTTAAATTATTTTGGAGAATATCTGAAGAAATATCTAAGACATAAAAAAAAAATTCTGTTTTTTTAACTTTGACGAAATTCGGTGTTGAATCCTTATATGCACGAAAATAGGTTACACCACTGTACATATACTAAATGATATACCTCATTGGTTTAATATATTGATTAAGAAACAAGATCATCAATTATAGCTATTTCATATTGTGTGAAGATCAATACTATAAGATCTGAAAGTCTTGATACACACTACATACCTGCTGAAATAACGCCAATAGGACTAAAACATAAAGCTCTAACATCATGTTTATGTATATTCTCCGTTGTTGATTGGACCCATTGTTGTGTACCATTTTTTACATATATCAGTTCAAAACCTACTAATAATGGATCTACTCCTGATGAAAATACACAATCATCAGCCTGAAAAATATCATAAAATGATTTAAGTAATATAGCCAGTAGATATTTTGAGTAAATGATCAGTTTTCTATAACTTATGTGGGGGAATCTTGCTTGACAACTGTGGCAAAAAATAATACAACTATCAAAGTAGTTTTATAAGCACAACCTGTAGCATTATGTTGAGAATAAGACAAGCTATGACTAACTATAAATATCAATTCTGGTAAAGATATGTTAGTAATAAATACCTCATTGACGGTTAAAGTTAAAACATCAGCTTTATGACTTTTAAAACTCTGAAATAGAATGTTAAATAGATTCAAATGTGATAAGAAAATTGCATTAAGACTTCATTTCTTTAAAAAAAAACTGTCAGAAATGATAAAACAGTCATTAGTCATTAGTCATTAGTATGAATTTTCTCATATTAAAGAAATTTTAATAGTTTGAATTCAATAATATATATATTTACTGCCAGTTATTTATGCTGAGAAATTCCACTAAATTTTTAAAAATCAATATCAATAACCCAAATACATCAAATTATCTCATCAATATAAATGATCACACCAAATTTCATTAAAATCAGATGAAAACTGTAGTCTCTCTTGTGTTCACTAAAACATTTTGACGCGTTTTTCCTAAGTCAAGGGCAATAACTAAAAAAACGTTCATCGAAAGATTGTCAAGTTCGTAGTTGATCAAGATCTCATCAATATAAATGATCACACCAAATTTCATTAAAATCAGTTGAAAACTGTAGTCTCTATTGTGTTCACAAGAAATGTTGATGGACCGACGGACCAACGGACAGTTAAGATTGCCTTCCACCATTTGTAGTTTGTTTCTTCCCCTGATGAAGTCAAAACTTTTTTGATGAAACGTTAGGTATTAAAGGATGGTATTTGATGTCAAGTTTTATTATTTATTACACCAAGTTCAGTATACATCAAATGAATCGCTGTACTACTAGTGGTATTGGTGATCCCATCAAAAAGTCTTCTGTGATTGGTTATTGCTGCCTGTTTTTTCTTTTTGGAATCACCACATTTCCATGTGGGCGTATAAAAAATTAAAAATGAAACACTTTATTGTGTTAAACATGAGATAGATAACTGATAGATTTAATATTAAAAAATATTACCTTTATTAATGTTCCTTGTCTGCCATTCCAAAAACAAGTTTGTCCTCTTGAATCTCCACTTATTATAGTCAAATTACTAAAATATTATAAAATAAAATAAACAATTCTAAACAAATGAGATCAAAGGAAACGTGACTGTAATGGACTGAAAGGGCATGGATTTTTATCACTTTCTATTTTCTTTGGTTCATGCAATCAAGAAATATACTAGTCTTTAAAGCAATTTTTATCGAATGAGAACAATGGAAAATAATGTTCAAGACTTTATCTGAACTTTTCATTCCAAAGTCTTTTCTAAAATTATCTCTAGATTGAAATCAAAGACTACAAACTATTTATTCTTGTTCAAAATTATTCAGACCTTTAGACAGAAATAACTGCATGAAATAGATGAAAATAACTATAAAAATAACTCAAAAAATTTGAAAATCACCTTGTAACAGCTAGGGTCCATACTATAGTTTCTTGATTACCAATTTGATGCCCTAATGTTAGACGTTGTATAGCTTGTCCAGATTTAACACTCCATAACCTTATATTATCTATACCACCAGTTATTATAATACCTTCTTCAGTATGCCAGGCAATAGATAGTATACGACCTAAAATAGATTGTTAATATCACATTATTCTACAGTATGCCAGGCAATTGATAGTATAAGACCTAAAATAGATTGTTAATATTATATTATTCTACAGTATGCCAGGCAATAGATAGTACAAGACCTAAAATAGATTGTTAATATTTATAACATTTCAATAACCCATATCATAAATAGTATAAGATCTGAAATAGATTGTTAATATTATATTATTCTACAGTATGTCAGGCAAGAGATAGTATAAGACCTAAAATAGATTGTTAATATTTAGAACATTTCAATGACCCATATCATAAATACTATAAGATCTGAAATAGATTGTTAATATTATATTATTCTACAGTATGCCAGGCAATAGATAGTATAAGATCTGAAATAGATTGGTAATATTGCATTATTCTACATTATGCCAAGCAATAGATAGTATAAGATCTGAAATAGATTGTTAATATTACATTATTTTACAGCATGTCAGGCAATTGATAGTATAAGACCTACAATAGATTGTTAATATTAGATTATTCTACAGTATGTCAGGCAATAGATAGTATAAGATCTGAAATAGATTGTTAATATTATATTATTCTACAGTATGTCAGGCAATAGATAGTAAAAGATCTGAAATAGATTGTTAATATTATATTATACTACATTGTTCAAGCAATAGATAGAATAAGATCTGAAATAGATTGTTAATATTATATTATTCTACAGTATGTCAGGCAATAGATAGTATAAGATCTGAAATAGATTGTTAATATTATATTATTCTACAGTATGCCAGGCAATAGATAGTATAAGATCTGAAATAGATTGTTAATATTATATTATTCTACAGTATGCCAGGCAATTGATAGTATAAGATCTGAAATAGATTGTTAATATTACATTATTCTACAGTATGTCAGGCAATAGATAGTATAAGATCTGAAATAGATTGTTAATATTATAATATTCTACAGTATGTCAGGCAATAGATAGTATAAGACCTAAAATATATTGTTAATATTATATTATTCTACAGTATGATCAGACACAGTTTAAAAGAAACGTGTATCAAATTGTGCAATAAATTCATTATGTTCAATTATACTGCAAACATAAGAAATATTATATAGACTTTTCATTAGACATTGTTGACTTTGAAGACTTCCCTGTGCTTTAAAAATAAATCATTTTTCATTTACCTTCCTGTTTACCAAATGACTGTAAATATCTTAACTGTAACATTTCAATATCAAATAAAACAACGCAACCATCTTCAGTTCCTGCCTGTAAACATATATCACAAAATATACAGGATTTAATCACCACTCGCTCTATCTAACTATTCACAAATTTGTAGATCTTTTAGTAAAGGTAAGGAAAATGATTGATATGACTTGTAATTAAGAATATATTTGTATCCAAAGACATTGGATTGTGATGAATAAGGTTTTTTTCTTGCACACCTCTATCTTAATGTAATAATATCGTAGGCACAATTTCAAAGTCTAATTTGTCAATATGAAACTAATTCATTAAATGTTCAATCCAAGACAACTAACAACATGATGTTCAGTTCAGAATGAATATGAGCTATATATATATAAATAACTAAATCTCTTACTGCTAATCTTGTCCCTGTAGAATTCTTTGTTAAACACCAAATAGCCCCAGCATTTGATGGCTCTGAATGCTAGAAAAAGTCATATATAAGTTTGTTGTGAAATAGACATCAACATTAATCAGTTACTAATCCCAGTTAAACCAAGGACATCAGAACTTTATTCTAATACAGATTTTTTCAGTCTGTTACACACAGTTTATTGTCCCATACATACGAATAGATGCTTTTTCCATGTCAGCCCCTCTGGCCTGCATAACTGACAAGAGGAAACTGAAGATATTATTTCGACCTATGCTGGGATTAAATCCTGGATCTTTCGTTTACCATGCAAGAATCCGACTCACCTGAGCCACCTGAGATGTCAGAAACTCTTAAAGAATTGAAAGCAATAACAAATAGATAGAATTTGTAAGCAATGTAATTAATGTGTATTATGTGTAAAAAATTCAAGATAACAACTTACTATCGGCTGTAAAGCAAGTAAATTATATTCTGTAACTTCACCATCTAAACCAGCAGTAAAGAGTCGTCTCCCTTCCCATACAATGGCTTCTACAGATTTATCACATCCTCCAGGTATTGTCTAACAAAATATTAACATGGACCAAAATAGATATTCAAAAGAACTTTTAAAATTATAACTTAAAGTATTAATTATTCAATATTTTATACAAATAGAGAAATAGGCTAAATTAATTTTTATAAAAAACACTTTTCGACCATAATTAAGTCTCCCCAAAATGTAACGTAGAAATATAATTTATCACATACATAAAGAAAATCATCCAATTCAATAAAACTGTAATAAACGTATGAATACCTTTAGATGTAACCAATCAGAATCTGGTAACCATATTTCAATTGTTCCATCACTCCTAAAATATATTATATTATAAACTGAAATAAACAACAAAGGGACATGATCTAATATAATGGCTTGATCATGCAGTCAAGACCTAGTCCATTCTGCTCAACCTTCAACAATGTTTGTTAGCTTCCATGAACATTAACTAGACCATTGAAGGCAGACATATTGCCAGGGAAATTGGCAAGGGCACATAACTCTGTCTGAAGATTGATTTTGATTGGTTAGAATAGTGTAGTGATTTGCACTGTGTAAATAAAAAATCATAAGGTCAAAAAAAATGATTCTACTCAAATAACAATATTTTATGAATAATGATTGATTGTTTGAGTTTGATTTAAAAAGTATTCAGATATATTGAATAAGGAAAGTATTCAGATATATTGAATAAGGAAAGTATTCAGATATATTGAATAAGGAAAGTATTCAGATATATTGAGATGTATTGAGTTAGGAAAGTACATGTATTCAGATACATTGAATTGGGAAAGCATTCAGATTAGATGACAATTTTTCTCATATAAACCTAATTAATTTGGCAAAGACTCAATTTAATGTTTGGTTACCAAATCAGACTTTCTTCTCACTTTATCTGCATAGTTTTTTTGTGCGAAATTTCTGTAAACCTTGAAAATATTCTTCAATAGAAAATTTAAGATAATCAATACTGGATTTAGTAAAAGAATTAATAATTACCAGTATGTTAAAAATTAAAAAAAATACCTTGAAACGGCAAGCTGCTTTGTTGACTTTTCATATGCCAAACAATGTACAGTCTTTGGCTGATATTCGAAAAATCTCACATGGTGTACTCGAAACTCTCCCATATTCTTGCTAGGCTATTCAATTTGACTAAGCTTTCCTGAAAAAATAATGTGAAATATGTACATATGTGTGATTCAGTTTTCTAAGCATATAGTCTACAAAAACTACACAAAACTCATTTCTTTCAGAAAGTCCTTGTGTCCATTGTCGCCCTAAAGTTTGATGATTTTATTTATGAAATAAATGTTATTGAAGTTCTTTCGGTGCTTTTCTCTTTTTTTAATTTAAATTAAATGTGTTTTTAAGCTGTGTAATCAGATCTAGATGGTAGAATATCCTTATTGATTTCGTGAAATGTGTGTCAACTTTGCTATTAAGTCTAAGATCTAGGCCTACTAAAAAAAGAATAAGAAGTCTACCACAGTAATCACTGATTCAAGTTTTGTTCCTACCACTATAATAAATCTTTTTTTCTTTTAAATTTTTTTTTTGGATAAAACAAATCTGGCAAAATATATCATCTCAAAAACAATGCATGTTTATCGTGGGTGCAGACATGTTGAAGTCTCACACTTTCTATTCATCTGAATTCTGATTAGATAAAAATATTAGTTTATTTATAGCAGCCAATAAAACTGCACTGAATAATATGGCGGTATTGTAAAATAAATTGTAGATAATCATCTGAAACTTTAACAAAATGGTCCAACTTTACGTTCAAATGTAAGTTCAAATATTATAATTTCTTAATAAGGTTAGGTAGTTATTTTTTCATAGACTAAATCAGATTACCAGCGTGTTGAAATGATGTAAATATATGAATATTATCTCCCCTTACGCATGGCGGTAGCTATTTACCACGTACGAGACAAATAGTCCGAATATTCTTAAGATAAACAACTTCAGTTAGGGATTTAAAAAGGATTTCTAAATATTTGCACCATTTCAAATTGCAGACAAACGTCTGCGGTTCCTGCAATGGCCTACACCCTATTCCAATAAATTAAGTGTTTGATCCCTTTAATTGTTAGTTGGTAGGCTACCTTACTTAGTTTTTGATCATGATATATTGGTAGTAGTTGAGAAATCTTCAGATCTGGTCGAGTGGAATGTAATGGCGATGAAATCATAGACATATTAAAATAAGGATGAAACTCGGACCCTTGGCCTTGACCTTGGCAGTGTGACATGAGCTTAGAACGTCTATTCGATCCTTTTCATTCTCCCTTAACTCGTCTTGCAGTCTAAATTAGACCTTGGTTGGTAGATGGCAAGTTAACGTTCGCTTCCAGCGGATGTTGATATCGCTAACCATTAGACCCTACTTTCGTTTCGTTTTTATATGTCCACTTGAATAATATGTGGTCGTATATTTTCGTCGCCCCTGTCCGTCGGTCAACATTTCTTGCGGACACAATAGAGAACACGGTTTTCATTTGATAAACGTTTTTTTGTACGCCCACATGGAAATATGGACGTATATTGCCGTCGCCCCTGTCCGTCCGCCCACATGTACAATAGGGCTACAGCTATTATCTGATCTTGATGGAACTTGGCATGCCTGTAGGCCTATATATTGATGAGATGTCGGTCAAGTTCGAAATTGGTAGGCTACTAATCGCATGAATGGTTTCAGAGTTATTGCCCTTGACTTAGTAAAAAACGCATTAAAGTTGGCTTGATAAAGGCTAAAAATCTTATCCGATTTTGATGAAACTTAGTATGCTTGTAGATATAGATAATACCTCAGTCAAGTTCGAAATTGGTAATAATCTGATGAACGATTTCAATGTTATTGCCCTTGATTTTGTAAACATGCGTTAAATTTTCTTTGTACATGCACGATAAAGGCTACAATTTTGATCCCATCTTGATGAAACATAGTATGTATGTATATATTGATGAGATTTCGGTCAAGTTCGAAATTGGTAATAATTGGATGAACGATTTCAGGATTATTGCCTTTGACTTAGTAAAAACATGTCAAATTTTGCTTGCAGGCACGATAGAGACTATACAGTTTGTATCCAATCTAGATGAAACTTGGTATGCATGTATATGTTGATGAGATCTCGGTCAAGTTTGAATTTGGTCATAATCGGATGAACGGTTTTGGAGTTATGGCCCTGACTTAGTAAAAACGCTTCAATTTTGGCTTGTAGTCATGATACAGGGTGCAGTTTTATCTGAACTCGATGAAACTTGGTATGCATGTATATATTGATGAGATCTCAAGTTCAAAAATGGTAATAATTGGATGAATGGTTTTGGAGTTATTGCCCTTGAATTATTTCAATGCGTCTAATGTTGATTGTAGGCCTGATAGAGACTACATTTTTTTATCCTATCTTGGCTAAACTAGGTATGAGATCTCTATAAAGCTTGAAATTAGTAACGATCGGATGATTGGTTTCACATATTAAACCACTAAAGACTTTATCATTTCTTACAGCTGGTTGTTGGCTGCCTGGCAAGCTATTTTGAGTTATTGCCCTTGACTTAGTAAAATCGCGTCAAAACTTTTTTTTTGTGGGCACAATAGAAGCTTCTTTTTTTAGCGGATTTTGAAGAAACTTTGTGTAAGCATTGGAATTGATAAGATGGCGGTCAAGTTCCAATTTGACGATATTTCGATGAACGGTTTTTGAGTTATTGCCCTTAACGCATATTTATTAAATTTTCCAGCCAACCTTTATCCTGATATACGACCATAACCGCCATAGGGTAACAGTTTATTGCTTATATTTACGTTTTCATGATATTCTAATTATAAATAAAAAATAAAAACTTTTAAAAACGAATTGAAAGTTGGGTCTAATTGTAGCCTAATTAGACAGCTCGTTTTGGTGATTGATAATTCTTTCCGAATGGCAGTTGTTGGTTTGGATAGTCTGAAACACCTGTGTCTGCCTCTGATAACTATTTTGACAGTGTTGTCGACTAGAGTAGGGTCAGAAAAACTTGGTCACGTTTATGGGAATTTCCCCCACCTCCGAAACCTATTTATTACCTCAGATCTGCCAAACACTGCTATCTTGTACAACATTCTTCGGGGTGATTGGTACATTATTGGTTTCCAGGTAATCTGCCAGAACCTTACCAGTGGGTCGGCTTCGTGGCAACATACCCATTTGATGGAGTTGACCTGTTCTCATAAGACGTTGTCCTGTCTGGTTACCAGTGGGCAAATGGATGATTTGGTTTCTTTAGATCAATTTGGTTTTATTAATGTTGAGTTGATACTAATGGTTATGATACTTATACATGTACCATTACATCGACCAATACTACGCATAGATTTCCTTGTGGATTCGAGGGCATGTCTGTTACCAATTTCTGATGATATTCAGCAGCTAAATCCTAGAATTGTTTTTGTTCCACAGGGGTGACCACATTCCTTCATTCTTTAATGCAGCATATTGGGTAATTTATTATGTTAAACATTCGTTAAGTTTTTTTCTTTACCTCCCTACGAAGTAAAATATTAGTTGCTATCTTGGGAGCTTTTACTCTTTCTTCGAACACAGCTGTGTCATGTATTATGACCTTGAATGGTGCAAGATTGCTATTACTCATTTTATGTGTACATAAGACTTTGACTTATGGGTTGTGCTTTGGATGGGTAAATATCACTATCCTTCCAGTCCAGACATCTTGTCTAATTTATAGGGCCAAAAATGTATTGCATTGTCTTTGCCTAAGTTTTCACATTGATTTTGATACCGACAGAGGGCCCCTGATCTTTGTTTTAATGCCTTTTAGAAATTACTCTTGAGAGCAACTTAATTTTGGCAAAATTGATTTTAACACTTAAGCCTTTCTCGTGAAGTGGAACATTTCATATTTCAGCCCAGGAGACACAACAAACTGTCCAGAATGGGCAATTATTGATCTACAGGGAGATTTAGAAACACGACATCCAGTACCATTAAGTGGAAAGTTTATTGGTGATTTACATTTTACTAAAAAGGTAATTTTCACAATATCTTATAGATACATAATATCATTTCACAATTTTTATTTCTGGTAAATTTTCACGACAGTTGTTGAATTTGGACACACAATAGATAATTGAACTTGGGTTGTATCAGGTGGTAAAGTATACTATTCACTCTGATCGACTAGTGATCCAATGCATAAACATCCTAACTGATCCATAGTAGTTAACATGAGCCTAGAGCTTATGTCAAAAAAATTGACCGACTACATTCAACTGCGACCAGCTGGATAGTCTCATATTCCAGTCGCTGGAGTCGACTATCAGATTCAATTGTATTAGAATGCAAAATGTAACTGACAACAGATGACAAGCCCGAGTCCTCTCTCCAGTTTATTGAACAATATTAATTATTCCAGGATGCTCCTGTATTTATCATTGGTCACCACATTCTTTACGGGAAAATTGTTGAACTTGAAAAACCATTTGCTGTACTAAAAAAAATGATATCAACAGATGAGAGTAATGATAATATGGACACAGATTGTGATAAAGACAATAATCATTATGAAGTAGAAGCTTTAATCAGAAAGAAAATACTGTTTAAAACAAGACCCAAACCTATCATCGCTAACGTTCCCAAAAAGTTGTGATTAACTAATATGACACTCATTGTATATAAACGCTATGATCATATTGTTTGTAAATACGTTTAGTATTCTCTATAACATCACCAACTATTTAATGTGTAAATCATGAGAAAATTTGATAAAAAAAAATGTGATCAATAAGTTAAATTTATAATTTAAAAGATATATGGATAGGAAGCATGTCAATATTTTTCTAACAATAGAGAATGCGGGATGTGTGATAAATTTTATATTTTGTAGATAAAACTTCATCTTTTTGCAACATTCATCATCTGTAAATCTCATATTGAAATCGTGGTATTTGAAAACATGATTGAGAAGTTAACAACGAGCAGCAAGGACGCTAAATAGTGTTACGATATTAAAGCTATCATGCTGTAACTACGCTAAAAATTAGTTATTGGAAAAAAAATATGAAGATTATCTGTTCGCCGTATTTACTACATTCGTTCGCCATATTTAATAAAGAAGTATGATTGACACACAGTATAAAATCCGGGTATGACACGCCCATCAATCTGTTGATATCTCGACCTCGAACTGTCAACATCGAATATCACCACTCACAGTGAAACCAACCAATAGAGGTAAAATCAAAATTTCACGATTGTAAACAAAATGATGAAAATTCTTGAAATACATTATAACAGATGAATGTCTGAATGGGCATATTTTCATAAAACATATACTTGCTCATGAAATTTTACTAATTGCCTTTCATGATATATTGTGACTATAGACTTTACAAACCAAAATATTACACCACATACTTTGTAAACATACACGTTTCCTTTTTATTTGGAGAATCATTGCCTCGCTCATATCAATAAACCAAATAGTGAGCAAAGTTCATTTGGGACGATTTGACATGCAGCGCGGTTCTAAACAATGCTAAAAATTATCATATCTACTACTCTCTCCTTCAATAAAATAAGCAAATTATAATCATAGACATTATAAAAAATTATCAAATACTGAAGAAGAGTGTAAATCAGTTTAAAATAACTAGGAGTTACTTCCCATATACACCTAACAGACTACAAAAAGAGTGATACATGTATCATATAACGACTTTTTTGTGCAAAATAATTTACGATCTGCAGGCCTAATTATAGCGAAAAATACTAGGAACACTTTACTTTTTATTATATGTATATACGAGAATGGGTATCTTGTAAGGAAAAGGCGAAAGTGGACACATTCAATACTATTTTCAAAGTCATCATTCGATGTCATTGATAAACAACACCGGAGAAAAACGTAAGAATAGTTTATTGCAAGAGGTAGATAGATAGATGCAGTGTGTATGTTGATATATAAGATAATTTTCGGAGTTTCTGCTAAGTTAAGAAGGAAATATGGGAATCTGTATTTTCTTACCTTTGTCTTCATTTTTACTATTTTGATAATGGATAGTTTCAAGGTGAATTAGTTTCACTTTGGGTTGTGATTATCGATGTTGACAGTCTAAGATATCAACTGAAAAAGCTGAAAACGTTCACTCGTTGATTAAACCAAAACCCCAGCTTTGAAATTGTTTTCATTGTGACATTTTTTTCGCCAGCTCGTCATTTTAATAACTGTGTGTTAAATGAGTAATGGATTATCTTGCAGAACTTCTAAAGTATAATACAGTAGCTAGCATATTATGTACTTCCAACTTAACCGTCGTTTGTCTTACCTGCTGAGCAAATAGAATTTTTTGCCTTACAAGCTAAGTGGATTCCACTCCATTTAAATGTGACCAGTGTTAACCTGTTTGACACAAAATTTATCGAAATCTTGTTTGTTTTCTATCGTAACTTTCTGTCTATCACATTACAACTAACTGGACTCTATGAATATAGTTAACTTCTACTTGACTAATGGTAAACTTAATTGAAAGCTTTAAGATGATTACATGATTACAACTCATGATTAATCACACACAGACACAAACAAATTAGAAATTTTCTGGATGAGTTAGTGAATAGTTAGTCGCTGGGGTATATACTCGTTGTTGGATTTGACAGAGAGAAATAATATTGACAGAGAGAAATAATATGAAGACCCAACATATCTCTCACTACTCTAACCCAGCTTCGACCTATTTGAATTCCAATAAAATACGTGGAATAAGTAAAAGACATCGAACTCATTTTACCAGTATTCAAGTTGAAAAGTTAGAAGAGATATTTACTGCCAATCAGAATCCATACCGAGACTTAATCGTTCACTTGTCAACATCTTTAAATCTTACACATAAAAATATCCTGGTAAGTTTTCTTTGATTGAAGTATTTTCAACAATTTAAATGAGAAATTTCCTGGTTGTTCATTAATCGAGTAGAATAGATGGGTCAGCTGCCTAGGTTTCATATATATATATATATATATATATTTTCAATACTAATATATATACTAATAATATATATACTAATAATAATATATAAATTATTGTAATATATAATAATAATTATATTATATAATATATATACTTTTCTGAATGTACGTAGACGAAATTCCATTTTTAAGATCATAGTCGATAGTCATTTTTATACGCCCACGTGAATATTTGGTCGTATATTGTCGTCGCCCCTGTCCGTCGGGTACAATAGAGACTGCAGTTTCCATTTGATTGCAATGAAATTTGGCGTGAGCATTGGGCTTGATAAGATCTCAGTCAAGTTCGAATTTAACGACTTTTCGATGAACGGATTTTGAGTTATTGTCCTTGACTCAGTAAATTCGCGTCAAAATGTGTTTGTGGGCACAATTGAAGCTTAAATTTTCAATGGATTTTGATGAATCTTGTGTGATCATATTTTTTTTGGATATATATGTAATATATTGCCGTTGACTTAAAACATGTCAAATTTGATCATGCGTTCAATTTAGTCCAATTTTTCATTCCATTTGAAACTTTGTGGGGTCATTTGAATTGTTAAGGTCTTGAGTGAGGAGTTTATTACTTTTCAGAGGATTAAATAGACACTTGACAGTTTAATCATTATGCAAATCTGCTGTGTGAATGTATGTTTACCATGCCTGGCAAGCTATTTCCATTTTAGATATGGTTTAAGAATCGTAGAGCCAAAGAAAAACGACAAAATAAAATCACCAGATCTGACGAAGAGGTCACACAAGAGGTGCCAGAAAAAAATGTTAAAAATCACAAATCAACTGTTTCTAAAGAAGCACCAGATACCTATATACTAGAACCTCCTAAAGTTGATAGATCTGAGAAATCACCAAGCCAAGTATATGAAGCACCGACCATAAGTACATTCAAAGACACGTTTTATCACCAAGATCTAATCCCCAAAAGTGATTCATATTTTCCTGTATCTGAACACTATAATATTCCTTCTGTGTGTTACAATCAACAATATCTTTATCCACCATCTTATAACCCTCATTATAGATCACCTTATATTGATTATGGTTATCCATCTGATAGTGGAAGAATTGACTATTCTTATAACGATGCCCCCATTTATCCTTCACCATATTATCCACCAGCACCATATTCATTTCAACCCAAACCTGATAACATTGCTGATCTTGATCCCAAACAAGATGCTACATCCACCGACTCTAATAATTCCAATCCAAATCCTAATGAGTCTGTTACAAATCCGGGTGAGTCTATTAAAAACGAAGTTGCACCTTCGTCTATTGATTCGAGCCGAAATGATACCACTTATGCCACCAATGAACTCATAGAATCCAATATAATAGTAAATCAGCCAATTTGCCTTACTAAAACTGCGACTCCAAGTGTTAATAGTCAGATATCGCTTTCCCATTATAAATTTAATTATCTATAACTGTATAATGTTAAAACTCAAGAACTCTCCTTCTGGATACTAACAGATAGTATGATAAGGTTTGGAAAACACCACAGAAAAAAACGCTCCTCTTGAACAAACAAAATATGGCAGTCACCTGGATGATAGAGTCTCTTAATACACGTTTAGAATCAAAATGCGACTGCTTATTCGCTTTATTTTTATAGACCCACATTAAATGTATATATTGAACCTTATTTATTGTATTTCTTTTATTTTATATGAAATAAATCGTATAATTTTATCTTTTCACGCCATCAGTTTCTCATTTGAAGATGCAAGATCAACAGAAAAAACATATTTTAAAGGGTTTTGTAAAGAGAACAGACGTCGGAATGAAATGAATGGTGCAAATTGATGTTACCAGTGTCCCCGTTACACAAACACTGCTTTACTTAAACTCGTGAGCAGATGATTATCGAACCGTTAGTGTAGCCACTAAATTTGATTGGAAGCAAAATGTCTCTTGAAAATATTCCGACTCTTTAATAACACGATCATTTATTGGTAAATAGTGATCAGTCAAGTTGTACACAAGTGTATATAAGTGGTTAGATATCGTAGCCGAATCATCATCCCTTGAGATAGGAACATGGTTTCTGTGCCCTTTCATTCATAATTTGGAATTTAACATTGTTAATCATTACACCCTTCTACATTATTTACTTTATGTATTGATATTTGCCAGGCATTTCTGGTCATAATTAAGCTGTACTAGTTATAAATAGATCGCAACTTCAAAACTCTGCATTGTTCTGAAGTAGGTCATATATTTTATCAAGTTCATATTATCCTGATATGAATTTCTAATAACGTTATCCAAAATTCTACAGATAATTAGTTCTGCCCTTCCATATCTTGCATTTATCACCATTCGCAATTAATTTGTGTAAGTGAAGACTGTTTGATAACGTGTGATATGAATAACTAGAACGTGAAACAGAATAAAAGACTTCTTTATTTAATACCATCCCTTACTTCTTTCATGTTTACTGATGTCACTTATATTTTTAGTTAGTCACGTATTTTCCCTTGTATCAAATTATCTCAAATGATTTCAAACCAAACTTGTTGATTTCAGATTCCTTGGTATATCTTTACAGATATCTCTCGTCGAGTTCGGTTGAATGTCGATTGCCTACAAACTTTGATAAAACTGCTGTAATGAGGCAAATTAGAAGCTTTTTTGCATATTTGCATTAGATTTACAATTATTGAAAAAAGTGTACAATGGCTTTTGATTTCTGCACCAGGTAGTTACTAAAATATTTCTTCTAAAAATTTAAGGAAAACAGATATGAATGTACGAGCGAAAGATTTCGTAACAAATGGTAGGCCTACTGTCAACTTTCTGTTCAGATTTCATTTCTTGGAAAGTTAACAGTAATTAATGTATGTTCAAAGCGACATGAGACTGAATGTCACACTGCAGCTTTCTGGGTCACATAACATGTAGAATAGTGTTTGACTGTGTTCTTTTATTTTCTTTGCATAACTTGAATTGTCCATTGTATGCACATATTTCCGTTTCTCAGACGGTGGCCATAATTGTTACTGTTTCATCCACCCTGTAGGCCTCTTGAAATATCTGGGTAATTAAACTCAAGTAACATCTTGAACCTCAGATAATATTAATAAACATACATTATGAAAAACACAAATTCAAATATAAACAGTGGTTTATTTTAAGACATACACACACCAATTATAATGCACAGTAAATACTTGGATAGATCTCAAGTTATTTCTTGACGTTTCAAAAAATTTTGAGATTTTATTTAATTGTCATACTTAAACCAGATGTTCTTTTTTCATGTCGTTACACTGAACAAGAATAACAACCCAAGTCAGCACAATGATCTTGTTTAAGTACATATGTATTAACTTCATGTCACATCGCACGTGTCTTTTGATTAGAAACCAAGTTCACTAAAATGTTAAATAGCTATACATACCACTATACATATCAATATTTAACTCTTTTATTTACGGAATAGTGCGCGATGGTAGGCTTATATAGGCAATTACAGATTCAAGCAGAAATGTCTTGGTGAGATTTCTCAAGGGTTTCCATAACATTGAAAGTTACATAAGCTTGTTTTTAGTGTATTATGTATTATAATACAGGGCCGTAACTAAAGTCTTTTCGCTATGAGGCAAAAGTTCTTTGCCTTTCATTACAAGGCTTTTGATAGACCACCTCTTTATAAACGTCAAATACGCCATGTAATTAGCAGGTGTAATATTTAATATTTTTAATTTTTCATACAAACTTTTTTTTATTTCATATACCGGCATATTTTTCGTCAAATTCTGAATGAGTCATTTGCCTTAATGAAGTTACGGCCCTGTTATATCGACGATATACAGTGAAATACAATATTCTAAACGCACGTTTTTATTGGTTCTTTTCGCCATAATGTATATAAGACCTCTTTTATTGACACAAAACGTCAGTGGGAAACACTGAGATCTTCCGAAGAATTTGTATTTATTCTGGAAATGGTTCCGTTTTGATTGCTATCTGCTTTAGAAGCCGGAAGTACATCGGGATTAGAAACTACTGACATGGCACTTTCCTGACTTCCAACTAGATGACTAACAGATCTTGAAGTTCTAAAATCTGCGTTATTAAGTCTGGTTATAGTTAATTTGGGAGGACTCACACGAATTTGTAACTGATTATAACATTTATCTTGACTTTTTACTTGTTGATGTTTATGTTGATATAAGGCATACAATTTAGGCACAAACAAACACATTAAGTTCACCACTGAATTCAAAATCAACGCTAAAGATAAAATGATCACTTTATAATATGCTCGAGATGTTGTAAAGTATGTCGGAACAAATGATATCCAGACCAATAACGTTGTGTCCACACAAAATGCTATATAACGCGACTCGTTATAGTTATCAGGAAGTTTCCTGGTTTTGAAGGCGTAAAATGTACATATCATAACCAAGAAAACGTTAAACGATAACGACGATAAAAGACCTGCTAATGGCATATCACAATATAACTCTACAAACTTTTCACTTCTAACTGGCATACGTAGTTTTACCTCTGGTTGAGCCATACTTGTTGATAAAATGATAATAAGAATCTGAAAAATAAAAAAAAATTTTTTTTAGACTAATTTAAGGTTTCAATCACTTTTATCAAGAGTTTGTCTTATATATCAATCTCCAAGAAAAGATACAATGCAAACCTATCATATCCCAAATCTATTTAAGAGATCTATAGTTAATAAAACTTGCCATTCGAACACCTATATTTTGTTTCAGTTGTCTTACAGAATTCGCAGTACATGTATAAAAAAAATATGGGGTATTCATTGTATGAAAAATTAATTATGCATCATGAAATTTCGTTTTCCATTAAGGACGAGTTGACTTTCAAAGAAATTAAAAGAAAAAAGGTTAATGAAGCCAGATAATATGAAGTAGGTTAATAATGGTGCGTTCGATCTTCCTACCCGAGCTTCTAATATTAGAAACACTTTATCAATTCTAGATTAAACAAATACTCAGATTACAATAATACATCGTTTCAAACACTTTATATTCTGACCCTAAGTCTTCTTCTAACCAATTCCTGATTTAAATTATAGACTTTGATGTATTGAAATGAGACATAATTATACTATATGGTTTATACATCATCATTTAATCTCAATTTGAGAAAGAGAAAATATACGGTTGTATTCAAAGGATAATATTATTTCAATAATAATTCTGAATCACAGTAGACAATCAGATTTTAAGAATTTTACGAAGAACACACGTTTCAGATAAGCAAAAGATCTATTCCAATGAACATCGTATTAAGTCTATCAGGTAACTTAACTTGAACCAAAGGATAGTCAAAGTAAAGTTATGTCAGGAGGTTTCTTTTAAGAATTCCATGGACAATTATTGTTAAAATTATGATGGAAAAGGTTTAAATGTTATTTCAAATGAAAACGTAATATTAACTTTTACAGTAACTGAACAAAATCATTCAAACAATTGTGGATGGTCTAATACTTTCAGAAAAAGTGTAGGACAATTAAGATCAAATGATTTTTAAATCTCAATTTGAACAATCGTCATGGCTGTATAATATTTTGAGTTGATATCTCATGGGCATGGTGGGTGTTGTCTCGAAAAGTTTTACGACAATCACCATTTTATCTTGAGTAGTTAGCTTAGTGAGATAATTTCGTCATGTAACATGAAATAACTGAACTAAATCGTATAGAAGTATAAACACTGGAATATCGATATTCAATCTCAATGTGTTCAAAGTTTTTAACATACTTATTAGATATAACCTGTACCCTTTGGAAACTGTTTTAATATCTGGTATGTCTTCAATAAAAGAAGACACAACTTGGGACGAATGATACGAGTTTCGTGTAAATGGGATAAGATTGAATCATATCTAAATGGTTGACATTTGATAGAAATCTGTCATTATCAAAACTGCAATATTCGCATTTCGAGAAAAATGGTTTAAGAAGGGATTACCGACTTTCAAAAATATCATAGCACACCTACACTTCGTATTGTAAATATTGCTTATCTTAGCTAATGACAAGCTCCACCAAACAAGCACACGATTTATAATAAGTCGGGATAGTCTTACATATAGCTAAGTTGAATCTTTATTCTCTTATCAAGATTGGTCTGACATTGACGTCATAATGATCCTGAAATTGAATCGTGAGTAATGGGACAGTGATTGAATTTAAACATCATCAATAGAGTGGTAAATTTGTTAGTGATGCAGTTAGTAGTAATAATATTATACCCGCCTTCCACTAACCTTCTAAAACATTTCTCATCTCACAGTTGTTCAGTATTGTTATATATCGGCCTTATATGTTAATGTATTTTAAAGTAGAAAACAAGACAAAACAATTTCAAAGCAGACAAATTTATTGGTAAGTGGTTATGACAACTTATGTTATTTGTCTGTTTATCGATCAAGTGTTTTTTTTTACTATATTTTATGATTCCAAATTTGAACACAGGCGGAAACATTATACCATTTTACATTTCCAAAAGTCTGGCCTGCTGGTATCATTCTGTCGTTCTGAGACTGATCATCATGACATCATTGTGGCATAATGACCTCTATCAAATATAATTGAAGGTTACCAAGTATTCCATGTACATGAAGTATATAATAATTATGACCTCGAGTACAAGATTCTTAAAGCCCTTTTAGCGAAACTTTTTAATGATATCCTATGGTTATGTAAGTTATTAGCGATAATTAAGCTTTCAAGTAGGGCTGTAAACAGACGATTTATTATCAATAAAAGTTACAGAACAATTTCAGAGATGAATTGCTATTTACTTGCACAAATAATTTTGGATTTCGTCAGTTGAAAAAGTATTTTTATGTCTATTGAATTTTGTAGCCGATTGATTAAGTGCAAAAGAATCAAAAGACCATCGATAACAACATTTTCTTCAAACTTTTAGTACATGATAAAAACATTTGTATTGTATTGTTATAAAGCACAATATATGATTTCGTTGACAACTGGGATATATTTGTCGATGGTGCTTTTAAGTCGAATCATATACTACCAAGTTATGAACAGTATAAAATCTTGAACACAAACTACCTACCCATATCAAAGAAGTTTATGTTTGAACCATAGGCTACATTTGTATTTAAAAAAAATATAAATGGAAAGGAAAAGACACAAATCAAAGCTATGGCCGTTGTTGGGCCATCTGCTTAATGCTGTCCTGGTGTCCGTAGAGAACAAAGCACAACAGCTTTTGTCATTCCGAAATAGTCATACACTGTACAAATGGAATTACAATAAATTTTGCATCTCAAGGGAAGTAACTATGCGAACAACCATCATAATGTATCGAAAGTATGTCAACACGTGTAAAATGAACGTCATTACGAAAGTATGTTTTAACACTATCAAGTCCAATGTAGCTTTTAGGATAGTGGTGAGAAATTTAGAAACCGGCTTTGTAGAGTATTTGGTAGTACCAGCAATTAAACGCTGCTTTTTAATGTATTTGATATGATTAATGTAGGGGTATAGACTGATATATTAAGTAGTCTACGGTATAGTTCGATTTTTTTTTAAAAAATGACCATTAAGAAACGCGACGTTTTAGTTAAAATTCCTGTTCTTACGAGGCTGGCAAACATTTCAAAAGGGTATTGTTTGCTGATGCATGATGATAATTCATCTTGACCGTCTTTTGAGTACATTAAAATAAGTTGAAATCTCTATGTAATTTGTATGAACTTATAATGTATCTAAAGAGAAACTATAGAAATTAATAATTATCTTGTCAACTAAGTAACCTAATTATCTATAATCAGCACTAAATCTAGAATATTAGTTCTCAAACTCTAGTATTTTAATAGCATTCCCCTTTATTCTCCATAATCTAGCTTAAAGTACTACTAAATAATATCATGGTTATAAGGTTAGTGGGTTCCAGACGTATGAGTATTTTTATCAGACACAACTGATTAATTTACAGTTTATATCATATAAGTGATATGATTTCCTTTAATGCAACTCATAATCATAATAGATTTCAGTCTGTAATAATACTTGTTAAGAAATAAGAATAGCTGTACTAGGAAAACTGGCCGGGCTTTTTTTGTACACTAATCATTAAATTACATTACGAATGAATCCAAGTTTTTTTTTATCTCAAATATTACAAATATATATCACTTTCGTTAGCATATATGGTGATATTACAATTACAAATTACATAAGCAAAACCATATTTCAATCACTTCCTATTGAGCCGATCGCTGCTGTTGAGATTTAGTCACTCACAGCCTTAATAATCTTAAAATGGTGGTTTGAGTTCTCGAGCTGACTATAATATGTGGAAATATCATCTTTATTCAAAGTTCCAATCGACCTGGTTGTCTGAGCATAAACGACCAATAAGACATGACGGTACCTAGTAGGTAAAATGCCAACGAGAATAGTTAGGCTTTACGCAATGCCTTAACCCAAATAGCATGCAAATTGCACACATAATTCCTTTGAAATTCCTTAAAACTCACCTGTATAGATATGATTCCAGTTACTATGGCAACTAGTGCTGGAGAACTTGTGCAACGTGGTAACAAGGTAGTTTTTCTTCCAGCGCGAAATATTCTGTATATCCTATTGGTTTTTACAAGAAGTGGCGCGTAAACAAAGGTGAAAGTCAAACTAAAGCCAATGTGATTCAGGTAACATGTACAGCTATTTGGTACTGTCATAAAACTTAACACCAACATAAAGGCAGCAGATATACCGACCAGCATCAGCTGGCTAAGTTCACGACTTGATGATCGGATGATCCTTTCATGTCTATAGGAATGAAATAACATAGCAACAAACACTGAAACAAGGAATCCCACAATAGCAAAAACACAAATCAGACCAGACACCATATCTGTTATTGTCACATAGTCTGGTGTTATTTCTATACACGATGCTCTAGTTCCAAAGTCTGGCCAATACAGATACGGACATGCGTCACAACGGGTTGAGTTCAAAGATACAATTTCGTTGTCTTTGCAATTAATACATTTCCAACAGCAAGTTTCCCGAGAAAAGGAATATATTTGACCAATTGTACAAGGATCTGCACAAACTGAATCTGGAATTGAGTTGTTCAGCCCTTCACTTTCATAATAACTGGCGTTTTCACTCTCCCATTTGAGTTTCCCTTGCTTTAAAGATAGCATTCCCGTTTTCATATCCCATATCCCGACTTCCTCGTGACGAGGGACACCATATTTCGATTGACACTGGCGTATCTCATATTTACCTACAACATCTCCATTCTCGTCAAAAGATATTTCACCAATCGACCCATTAAATGTAACATCCTTTAAAATACCAAGGAGTGTTTCACCATTCACACAATGTCTCAATTCTTTACCAAAAACTCCCTGACAATACTTCTTGATATAGGTGTCAAGGGCATATGCAAAAGCATAAACAGCATCGATAACATACGATGCTGCAAATATGGGAACATAGTCATCATCTTTTGCATTTTCTACATTCCTGAAATTTGAATTCTCTTTTGAAGAGTTATAACACAACCATGAGTGGAGATCATCTATAGAATTTTCTCCACTAGTTCTCATTTCACGCTGCGATTTCATATATGCTGAAAATCTTGGAAGATTTGCAGAAAAAGGCCTCACACTTAATGATCCCAAATTCCAATCACAGTATTCATTATCATCGTCTAAAATTAGACTCAAGGCATCACTTCCTGTCCAAATGAATTCACGATAAGCTCCCTTTCTTTTCGCTGCATTTATCAATGATGAAGCATGCTCACTATCAGCGTAAAGAACTACAACTCTTGCGTCTTTAAATCTCCTTAGTGAATCAATGACATCGTCATACTGTAACTTGAGCATGTTATTCCTCAATTCTAAAGACTGTGCGACACAAATGTCCAGGTCACGAAACAACTTGACCAACTGACGCTCACTTTCTTCACCGTAACTTCCTGCTGAGTAAACTACTGACACATACTTCCAATTAAAATGGTTGATCAGATCTGCAATGACCTTCACTTGGTTTTTGTCTGGTGGTAACATTCTAAGAAAGTATGGGAATCTATTTTTATCACTTAGTAAATCACTTGTAGACGTGTGACTTATTTGAGGAATTTGATACAGGGACATGACATTAGCTAGAACAATACTAAGTGAACTTGTGTATGCCCCTAGTACACCAATAACATCATAAAATCTTGGTAATGATTGGTGGGCGTGATCTATACATGATGAATTATTACAAGTTGTTTCTTGCCGCACAAAATGATGGGCAGCCGGCATAAACTGTAATGCACGTGATAAGACCATTGATGGTAGGAGACAATCGTCCAGTATAACAGTTCCTAATGTAATATTTGGTAATAAATCTGTTCTATTGTTTATTTCACTGATAGCAAAAATAACCGCTTCTACATATTCTATTGGTCTGAAGGTGGGAATATGCTCAGAACAACTTTTACCATTCTTTGATATATGAATTGAAAGAACTGCGCCGATATTGATATCTCCCTCGAGACTGTATTCATATTGTTTATTAAATATATCAGATGGGAAACACGTGACTAAATATCCCCACAACGTCAAATATATCAGAGGATATTTCAGAATATTTACTACTGAGGACATATTGTTTTGATAAACTTATATCGTTCTATCTCAATGTTTAGAAACGAATGATAAATAAAACAGTTACTATTGACTAGCTAGTTCAACCATGTTTATATTTCGTAACCACAATTCTTCTACTTCTCAACTCTTTTATCTGAAATGATAAAATATAGAAGATAGAATCAATAATATATACAGTTTGTTTTAAACACTACCAATCTCTTCAACGCCCGTCTTGTTATAACTCCAGATAAGAACAGACGTTTTATAACAATTGATTATCTAAATATTCTAGGTTTTGTTTTAAAACCACACGAGTGCAAGCATTCTGATTGTATAAACGCAACGTAAGAAAAAATGTAACCTAGAATTCAATGCAGTTTCGATCATTGACTTCCACAATCCGAACCATTGAAGCAACGTATTTTAATGGGTTGGAATCATCCCTTTCAAATTTATAATAACCTTTACATTTACATTTACATTATCCTCATTAGAAATATATTTTAACCAGTCTGAAGGGTTGATGTAGACCATGTATTTTTACATCAAAGTCCAAAGCCGACATCTATATGAATTCAATGGCCATCCCAGATCACTCAAGATGGATGTGATTAACAAAGCCATGTGTATGGGATGATTATTTACATTCAAACAATCATTAATCATAATTTTAAGTCGTCGAAAACATTTTCGTCAAAGCTAGTTACATTATTACATTAACTATCACAATCCGTAAAAAAATTCACAACTTCTACAATACTAAGCATCTATGACAAAATTATCACAATCAATACTTGTTTAAAAGTGTGTCTCAGTTCTTGACAATAACTCGATCTTGATCTTAATATCCAAATCATACATCAAAACTTTTAATACAGCTTATGAAATACATATAAAATCATATTATTCTTGATTTCCATTTCTACGAAAACCTTTTAGGCAGATCTCAAAAATTTATTTTTATTTTTCTGTAAATATTTTGAACAACTCGAAATTTCTGATTTCTAAAAATAGTTTGTTGCTGCAATAAAATACAATAGTTTCTATCCAATCAAGCTCATGTCTGTGGGCCTACGCTTAGACTATGTATATTGATCAAAGATCAAAAAAAAAAGATCAAGATTAAAAGTGGACGATATTTCGATGAACGGTTTTATTTCGGGGGTTGGGGGTGGGTGCATGGAGGGGAGTCTGCAGACATTTTTAAAAATAGGATGCCATAACGGACATTTCTAACAATTTTGATGAAATATTGTGATTTCTATGGATCAAGTAGCCCTTTTTTTATTTTGCAGGTAAAATTGGGGATTTATTTTTATAACAAAAAAATCACGAGGTTTCAACAAAAAATGTCCTTCTCAGATATAATAGACATAAAATTCAATTTCAATTACGATCTGTGTAGTCCTTTTTAGAACTCAATATTTCAAGTTGTGGAATCCGAAATTTCAACTTGAAAATTCGATGTCCGATTTTTAACGCTGTGCTATAATGGAAAGTCTTTGACTTTGATCACAATATCACTACATTATGTGATTATATCTCTTTACACTATATGATACATTATTATGTGATATTACATTGTGTATTGTATTTATCACAAAATCAATATAATACAACTATATGTGATACATGTTGGTTATGTTTATCACAATATCATTACATTGTGATACTATATGATAAGATAATATGTTGCTTATATTTATCCAATTATCACATCATATGATGTGATAATATGTTGGTTATATTTATTAAAATATCATTACCTTAAAATATCATTACATATTGATTCAACACTATGTGATAAAATAATATTTTGATTGAATCACAACATTAGATGAGACAACATTATGTGATATATTATTGGTTATATTTATCACATCACAAAATTATATGATACTATGATTGGTTCTATTTATCACAATATCACAACTCTAAATGATACAACATTATGTGATACTATGATTGGTAATATTTATTTCATTACCCTATATTAATTATAAAACATAATACGATATCCATTATATTTATCACAATATCACTAAGCAATATGTTGGTGACGTGATACTCGTCAACGTACATGTTTCATCATAATTTAAATGTTAAAAAATGTCTTTAATGGTAGATGAAGTAAGTTTTTATAAAACAGAGTGATATAATATAGTGGATTAAGCGATAATCTGATGGGACGTATATTGAATAATAAACTATATGATTAATCTTATTGTGGTATGATTCATTACGATGACGCTATGATTCGGTAAGATTTTTCAGATTAGTCTTATTTATAATTTTATATATGCATTCAGTAATATATGCGATTCTTGATTAATTATTATTTGACAGACCTTTATGAGTTTGTAGAAATATGAAGACACGCGAGTTATATAACAATAACTGTACGCAATCATATAAATGTTGACAATGTCATTATGGTTTGACAAGGATATGACAATAGATTCATTACATTAACCTGATATCATATTTCGCCCCATTTTCTCCGATAAAATTAAAGTGGCTGAAGGCAAAATATTACGACCTCGTGCTCAAATAAAAAAAAAAATCAATATGTTATTATCATTTTCTGGCATACATCTTTCCGTTTTAGATTCGTGGAACATAGAGAAATCACAGATTTCCAATAAGAGGGCAAAAAACCGCACTATTTTAATTATCTAATTTAAATTGTCTAAAAAAATCATTTCCAGAAAAGAAAAATTTCGAAAAAAAATCGAGATATAAGTAACATGGCGTCACTGGCGTTTTTATCTTATATTGTGATCAAATTGGAAACAGAAAGAAAGAAGCTGGTCAACGTAGTAAAAACAATAGTATTGGACAAGTGCGTTAATACTTCCCCTTCAACCCCACTCTGCAAATACATGTACAATGGTTGACAACGTATTACAAATTACTGTGCCTTAAACATACAATGATAAAGGTATCCGCTTTTCACAACTTCTTATTTTTATTTTGTGGATCAATGTCATCATGAGGATGATCCCTATCGATTTTTGTGATGATCTGATAATTTTTCACCGCGATTTAGCATTTTTACTCTAATAGCTATATTGTGCAACTCGTGTTCACTCTACAAGCAGCAATTAATTACGAATTCTTTTACTTTTTATTTTGTGGGTCAATGTCATTATGAAGATGATCCCTATCCAATTTCGTGGTGATCTGACAATTTTTCACCGAAATATCGCGTCCGTCTCAGCGTTCTCTATTAGCTATATATTGTGCATCTCGTGCTCACTCTACAGGCAACAATTCTTTATGGATTCTTTTGATTTTCATTTTGTGGGTCAATGTCATTGATCCTATCGATTTTCAGGATGATCTAATAATTTTGGAAGCATATTGTCATCTGTCCGTCTGTTCACAATTGGCTCACGCTCACTGTATATGATACAAACAATGATTTGTACTTGCAATCAAAGCTGTTGGAGGGCGTATCTTATATAAATTGTGTCTGGGTCGAAAAACTGATCCATTATAAATTCGCTATTTTACAATATTATCGAGGTATCTTAAAAATTTTACAGCACGTGACCATCAAAACAACATGACACCTTTTCTTGCCAGGGAAGGTAATATACGGCAACTTTGATTTTAAATAAAATTATTTGGCAGTACAGTAACAATTACCAGTATGGAATATTCAACCTTCAGTTATTCACTTCTTTTAATCTTTTTTGGGTGATACTGAACAATATTGCCATGTTGTCAAAATCCAGCATGAATCGAGCCTGTAAGAGTTTATGAATGCGTTTTCAAGATTGAGCTCAATAACTCACATAAAATAATTCTCAATTTTTTTTATTTTTAAAAGGTTCATTTATTTGGCAGCCCTGTAACATTCACCAGTAGGCTATGGAATATTCATCTTCAGTCATACACTTCTTTAGAACCTTTTTGGGGCGGCGATACTGAAATATTACCAAGTTTTGCCAAAACCCACAAGAATCGCCGTTTAGTGTTTACGAGCAAAAAATTGAAAGCGTTTTCAAGAACAAGGCCATAACTCCAATAAAATATTTAATGATTTTCAATAGTATTCATCCATGATAAACAATTTCACCAAATTTCGTCAAAATCTGTCAAGAATTGTGTCTTCTAGGAAGTTGAGAAAACAAGGACAATAACTCATACTAAATCTTTTCAGTTTTCTGATTTTCAATAGGGCTCATCCTTAGGTGATTACAAACACGCATACCAAGTTTCGGCAAAACCCCCAAGAATTGTACCTTCTAGTGTGTTTACGAGCAATTATGGACGGATCGACGGACATAGGTGACGCCAATATACGCCCCCCCCCCCCCCATTTCATGTGGGCGTATAGAAATGTAGATGATTATTTCATAATAAAAGTATTTTGCTTTCTCATTATATGATAATATTTCTAATAATTATTCTCGTTTGATAGTTTTATGTCTAATCAACATGAATAATGCATTATAACCAAGTAATCAATATTTTCTTTCAATAATTTTGAACATTGTATATTTCATAATCAGAGTATTGTCGATATTTTAGAAACATTATATTTAAATACCACTAGAGTTATTGTTATTCAATTGATGAATAGTAAATACCTTGTCATGATTTTATTTTCCTATCACATTCCAGATTATACAACTCAGATTCTAACAAATCTCGTTCTTGAGTAATCTGATTTAATAATTATTCTCCAGAGTTTAAAATTGAATGAACCGAGCCTGATGTCACTTTCTTAATGAAATATAAATTATAGATGGTACTGTTTACATCTGATGAAATCTGACGTAGAACGATATATATTTCTTGAAATTAGTATCAAAATTGAAATCATAGCTTCAAAAAGCTTAACTCAATCAAACTTCCGAAGAAAGCACTAGTCAATGATTTTTTTACTTTGGCACAAGTAC